GTTTACATTTATGTTTTCCCAGTCTTCAACGATGTTTTGAAAGCTTTTGCGCCTCCATCTTCAGGTCTATTCATAATGGAATTCATCTTCATTCCTAAAAGTAAAACTTATCCTAAGTTGTGTTCTAGATAATTAACATTTAAACACAGACTTGCTGTTTTCCATATGACATATTTTTAAGGTCCAAAAGAAGATCTCATATGGTTTCTAGTAGCCTGCCAAGAAAGCTTGTACATTACTTAAAAATGCCTAAAAAATTAAAAATGTTTTTGAAATTAAGAAAGCTATTTCCAGATAAGGTTCACTTTTAAATTATCAGTTTTGAGAGAGTAGTGCTCACCCATTTGTAACAAACAGTAATCTTGCTAACTGACACTCGCAAGTTTGGGAACCATATTGAAAATGACTTGATTTTCTTGGTGTTTCGATTTTGAGAATTTGGAATGGAATCTGTACAAATTAGTACACAAAACCAACTTTGTTTGAAATGTTTTTAAATTACAAATCATTCCATCCAAAATGTATGAAAGTGGCTGAAGTGTCCAATTTGGTTGATAGTAGTAAAAAGTAGCTATTGCCAGTTCCACAATGACAATTTAAATAAAGGTGTGTGTGTGTGTGTTTTTTTTCCATAAACAATGACAATCCTATAAAATTTGCAGAGAGATATATCAAAAACAGGTTAAAGAAACTAAGCAAGGTACATCAGGCACGCCAATGAGGTAATGACACCAAGCAACGAATGGAAAATGTGGAAGAGGAGGAATGGAAATTTCTACTGATACTGTACATTCCAAACCTAAATAGCAAAATAAAAAAGAAGTGAAGGAATGAAAAAGGTGTTGAAATTCGAAACACTATTAAAAAACAATTAACTTGTGAATCACACAAAAGATAAAACACAACAGACCGAGAGGAATTATGTGGTATACTCTCTACATTGTAAAGACTGTAATATGGAATACGTGAGACAAACTTAGAGAAAACTGAAAGATAGATTTAATGAGCATAGAAGAAACATTTTAGAAGAACCCAAGAGGCAAAACTATTTCCAAGCACTAATTCCTCAGCACAGGTTAGATCTAAACCATCAAATAAGAGTTCAGTGATCCACAGATTATTGCAGTGGAGAGAAGGCACAAAGATGGAATAATAATGGTAATGTTACAAATTAAAATTTGGCAGACTATGAATTAAATTACAGAACTTCATTTACAATCAACAATTATAATGTAATAAAAGAAATGCAAGAGAAACCAAATCAGAAACATTCAAGTCTCATAATAGAAGAAAACTTCTCCTTTCCCTGTTCCGCTCCTGTCTTGAAGTCGCTTCCAATCTGGTTCTCGAACTCTTGAGTGTCATTTAGCAAGGTTACTGTTCATGACAAATGGGTGAGCTATACTCTCTTAAAATTGGTCATTTAAAAGTGAATCTTCTGAAGAAAAAGCTTCCTAAATTTCAAAAACATTTTAAAATTTTGAAAAATGTTCGGCATTAAGTAATAGTACAAGCTTCCTTGGCAGACTACTAAAAACCAGACAAGATATCTTCTGTTGGACCTTAAAAACATGTTATATGGAAAAACAGTAAGTTTGTGTTTGTATGTTAATTTAACAGGAAAAGGTACGAGACCTACTATCCTGCTGCTCATGATGATGATGATCTGGAACTCAACTAGGGAAAAATATACATTTAAGAATTAAGAAAGATTGTATTATATCATTAGACCTGAAGATGGATGCACAAAGCTCTCGAAACATCATTGGGGAAAACATAGACTTAAGATTAAATTTAAATTGTTATGAAATAAAATAATTGAACAAATTGTCTGCTGCCTAAAAATTTTAAAGGGACCTGTTCTTAAGAGAAATACCGTAAAATTACTCTTTTCCTTATTCACATTTTTGTTCTGATAATTTTAAACCTTTTTCTCAAAAATTCAAATATTGGTTATTGCTTGTTTCTTGAGAGATGAAACTTGTTTAATATGGAATATTACGTAGAAAAATTAGAAACATTAAAAAGTAGAGAGGTGACATTTTGATTCTTGGTGCTCTTTATGTCCTTATGTCTTCTTTGGTTTTGTACACGGAAGTTTTGAATTTCGTGACTTTTCATTGATTTCATATATTTGGCTTGTGTTATCCTTGTTGGGTCCTGACCCTATTTTGTTGCACCTCTTTCATACATTTGAATACTGAAATATTCAAACGTGTCTCCTAATATTTCAAGTACTTTCTACAGAATAATGTGAGACATTCTTCCAGTTTCCATTGTTTTCTGGCATTCTTTTACAAGCCATGGATCACATGTTTTGTGGTGGTAGAGCAAATTTATTATAAAGTATTGAAAAGAAAATTGTTATCACTGAAGGAATATCTCTGTTATCACATGAAGGGTGAATAACAAAATATTTTTGTAAAATCGTTGAGAGAAAAAGTAATGTTTTGAGTTTAGACGAGAACTTTCTTGTAGAGGAAGATATTTCAGATGGTAATGATGTGGTCAGATATACTTAATTTTTAGAGGTGGTGTCTCATTTCATGATTTCTAAATTAATAAGAGACGTTAAGGATAAACTTGCTGCTTTGTTTTGATAACATATATTATGTCAGGAATAGTGTTGATAAGTAAGCATTTTTTCTTCCAAAGTCAATATATTTTCATAGTTCATGGCTTGAAAACCAAACAAATTCAGTATATACTAGCATGTTGTGTTTGATGATCACTAAAAAATATGCCTTTCCAAACATGAGAAATATTAACGAAGTGCTTTGGAAGGCAACAATAGAAAATGCCTGGGAAATGTAGCTATGAATCGTGCGTCAGGATACAAAGCAAATTTTGATCAATTGGGTGGATTATATTCTACAAAACAGTTAACTGTGCTAGTCATTACTGTTTTGGATCTTCCGTCTAGACATGTGTATACTGAATATTTAGTGAAGTCAGTAATATCAAATGTAAGTATAATGAAAACCGGCAAAAGAACCATTTGAGACATGGTGTTCATTTTCTCTTAAAATTTTATCATGAAGCACACATCAAGTTCCCATTGGTGTGAAACAAAAATATGTAAAATACGTCTAATAATGTATGCCAAAATTATGAGTCTTTTGCTTGTGGAAAGTCTTGTCCAAAGGAAACATGATGACACATGGGAAACTGACATTATTTAATTTAATGTTTATAACATGTCTATTGTTCTTATTACAACTTTATTCTTACATAAAAGTTTAATTTTCTTCATATTCTATATCTTGTTTTATTTGCTCATTCTAATAAAAATGTTCCTTTCATATCAATTTTGAGAAGGAAAGAGCGGGAAATATTAAAAAGTATATATAAAATGTTGCATAATACTTATACTGTACAATAAATCATTATTCTAATAGTGTTATAGTAGCGGAGATCATTATTTTTGCAATATGTTCTGTAATATGTATCCAAATCTTCCAAAGTTTGGCAACGTGAAATTATTGTGTAACCTGGTTTTGTGGGGGAAGGTATACTACTATACGCACACTTTTTCTTGATACATCACAGCAGGGGGTGCAGGAGGGGCGGGTTCTGCCCAAGTCATGATAGTGCAGTGCTGTCAACATCATTGATAGAAAACTCAGCACGGTAGTGGGTTTTGACTAAATAGCAATGAGAAACAATGCAAGATTTTTAAAAATTTTGAAGAAAGAATTAATGATTCTAGAAATAAATAAGTAACAAAAAAGAACATGATACGCCCAGATCCATAGAAAGAGAAAGTGAAAACTAGCAAATCTACATTGCAAAGGAAGAAGGTGGTCTGTGTCACTGCAAACTGAGCTGTGATGTTCCGAGTGGAACTCATATTGTCTACCACGACAGGCTGGGCTGGGATTGGATGGGCTTACAATTGGATGTGCTAGTATCCCCAAAGTATTCTCTATAAGAGACTTGGGCATTATTTTTGACGCCAAATTAATGTTCAAGGGACATATTGATCAGATAATAAAGCTAATCAAATTAGAATTTGTGAAAAAAATGTGCTTCGGTTTAAACTGGATGAAAGTGTTAAAATCTCTTCACATATCACTTCTGAGATTTATCATAATGTTTGCATCTCTTGTATAGTCATCACATATAAATATTGAATCCACAAGAATTGAGACAATACAATGTAAGTTCTTTAGAATTGTAGCATTGAGAATGAGTCTACCTGATACTTTTAATGATGATGAACATAGTTCCATTGCAAAACATATGAATGTGCCATCACTTAGATCTAAGAATAATTTTGTTGATTCAATTTTTCTTTTAAAACTTTTTAAAGGCAAAATGGACTGCAGAGATCCCCCTGTTAATAGGAAGAGGTTAACTATATTTGAGACCACGTGTTACTATCTCTTGTATTTGTTGAATAATCCAATCTCAAGAATGAATAATTCATGCAATCAGTTGACAATTGATTTATTCATCAGTACATCGTACTCTCAAATAGTGAAGTTTACAAAGAACTTATTTTTAGAGTTTGAGTAGTATTGTATCAAGTTTTTAACATTATTATTTTGTTTCTATTTCCAAGTCAATGTGCCAATATATTTTGTATTTAAGGACTGCACTTCCGTTTATTCAATAAATAAAATAATATATTTCTTCTTATGAAAAAACTTAGAAGACTTAGTCGAAATTACTCCACTTGATATTCTAAGGGGTAGTGGGAAGCCAGGCATTCAAGTATTAATACTTTGTCAAAGAAAAATATTTTTCACCTTCTCCTTTAATTTAATGAAATAATTGATAGCATATGAATTATGAAATGTTAACTGGGGGAAATATCATTTTCCCTGAGACTAAATCCCTTTTGGTTCTCTCACTGCATTTTCTCAATATTTTCTGATGTATTATGTCATAATCATGAATGGTGTGTTGTTGTTGTGTGTGTTGTTGTTGTTGTTGTTGTTGTTGTTGTTGTGTGTGTTTTTTTTTTTTTTTTTTTTTTTTTTTTTTTTTTTTTCCCCAAAGGATGAGAATGGTAATATCACAACCCTTATACACGATAAAAAGAAAAACAACATATCTTTGTTTTGGAAGAGAATGGTGCATTAAACGCAAAATCTACTTCCATATACCCTTAACGGTTGTCTAAATTACAGGTCCTTTGCTCGTTTTTGCACGGGATGATTTTTAAGTAAACCAATGTTTCCATTCTGTGAAAAGTAATGTTTTTTCTCTCACCTTCTCAATGGTTAAATTTTTGTGGACATCCGTGCTTTCTTTTTGACCTTTGTCATAAAAAGGTTGCTTCAAAAAGAATAGCCAGCATTTAAATGTATTTTTGGAGCCCCTGCCAAAATTGAAAGGTATGTTTCGTACTTTAGATAGTACGAAAGTTATTAGTACTACAAGATTTGTCTATTTGTGTCTTATATCTGTAGATAAAAGTTGATTTTTCGAATTATTCTGCTTGCATTATGTTAAGATGTTCTTCAAAGCTGGTTATTCAATTTATTCTAAAATTATTTTGGATGAGAATAATCAAATATTGTACAAAATGGTGTACATTTTGAGCACCAACCTCCTAAACCACAAGCCAAATACAACTGCAATGTCGACATATCTTTAGGTTTAGGGGTGGGTATTTGAAATTCGGAAATTACACGTGTTGATTATATATGGATGTAGAATGCATTTTTGTATGTTTGGGTATTACATTTTTAAGCACCCAGAGTATGATAGTAAATTACTTATGTTCATCATCTGTGATACCTTACCTTGTCAGTGTTAGAGTTAATGGGTTTCTAGTAATTCACGAATTATTTTTTGCAGGAGACTGATTTGTCTGCTCTTAGAAATTTCATTGCCCAGAAGAAACCACATGTGATTTGTGTGGGTGGTGAATCACGGGAAGCTTTAATGGTGGTTGCTGATCTTAAAGAAATAGTGACACAATTGGGTGAAGAAGAACAGTTTCCTCAAGTTGCTGTGGAAGTGTGTGACAATGAGCTGGCAAAAGTATATGCTAATTCTCTCAAAGGGGAGGTCAGTATTTGAGATGACTTTCTCTTTTTGTGTGAAATTAATTATTGTAATAATAAGTGATTCATTCTTGGCATATATTAAAAATACTTCCAGCTGTATTTTGATCACTTGAAAATTAAACATATTGTATTTTGTGTATACATGTGTTATCATGTGTATATTTCAATTGTACGCAAGTGAATAGTTTCAATTTTACATTGTGTTGCAGAGTGATTTCCGAGATTACCCATTGCTCCTAAGGCAGGCCATCTCACTGGCACGTCGTCTTCAAGACCCTTTGGTAGAGTTTTCTCAGTTATGTACTACTGATGAAGAAATATTGTGTTTGCGTTACCATCCACTCCAGGTAAGACATCTGAAAGTAAATTGATAAATTGATTCTCATGGTCGCTTATGACCCAGTTGTTGAAAAGCAACCTTAAATAAACTTGAAAAAATACTTCTGAAAGTAAACAGTTGAATTAATTTAAGGAAGTATGTTTGTTAGATCGACCCCCAAAAAGTACTTTAAATGAAAGCAAAATATCTTCAAGATGGTAAGAAAAAAATTGGTCCTTACCGTCCTAATTTTTTAATAAAAGAAGTTTATATTAGTACAGGCTCTCAGGCAAAATTTTTTGCAGGCATAGGTTTTTTAAGTTATAGAAGGATTTGAACATGGAATGTACTTTTTTCTTTTATTCAAAATCTAATAAACTTTTTAGGAACCAGATGGTATTAAATGTAACGTACCTCACCAGGCATTCTGAGGAACGATTGGTAAAAAACTGCTGCAAAATTCTCTTACTGGCTCTCGGTTACTCACAGTAAACACTGTTTGACGATAATCCACTTTCAATATAAACAATGTGTTAATATTCAAGGCAGAAAGAAGAAAATAATGGGCGGGTTTTTTAAAAATTTATTAGTAAACATTGTTTTTCTAAAGCAACTAGTCTATATATCTCTTTTTACGCTTTGCAAATAAGTATTCACATGCTCCTTTCACTTTTACAAGTATCTATTGTTAATCTGTCATTGTAATAAATGGTCGAGTGTTTAATGTGCGTGTGCTCACTCTTGCACGTGATTATAGAAAACAAAAACACAGACTATAATAAAAATAATGTATAATAAAAATGGTAGCAATTCAAGTACATTAATTAAAATTAAGTTAAATAAAAGTCTATATTGAAACCTTATTTACATAATTTTATGCTTAGTATCCGTGACAGATATATACTCCTTCCATGCTCTTTGTTCTAGCTTTGATTTCCACTGGGCACATAAGTTCGAGTCCAACACATTGCAACAAGCATTATTGCTTCAACACGTTTCACACATATAAAACTAATTTATTTTGAAAATTCACTACCCTGGTGTATTTTGTAACATAGATCATTCACACGCATGCACACATGCATGCTTGTATTACCACCAGTGCTCTCCAGCTATAACTGGAGGTTATAGTTGGTTAAATATGCAATACGCATCCACCGTGAGAGGTAGATAGGGACTTTCTTCCAAAACGGCCAACTATACACAAAGAATTCATCAAGTATGCATTTTGAATCAGTAAATCTCATATCAAATGGAAACAAATTCTCTAAACATCATAAATAATGCATTAAATGCTGTCAACTATGTAACTGAATTTGTGTACTTTCAATAACAAGCAAAATTACTATTGTGTTATATGTTTATAATTACTATTTTGTTAGCAATGCAAAAATAAAATCTGCAGTTAGTTTACTGATGCAAATAAGTTTTCTGGAACTTGGAAACAAAAATGTCTACTTTCAAAAGTTGCTAACTTCGCTTCTTTTGAAACTTTTATTTATCATTCAACTGTTTGTAGTTAAAATGTGAGGAATAGATCCGGGGGCTGAAGAAAACCTGTGCAGCTGGTATTTTGAAAATTTTCTTCTTCCTCCTCCTCCTCCTTTTCTTCCTCTTCTTTTCCTTATTGTTCTTGTTTTTTCCTTTTCTTTCTCCTCTTCTTTTTTTCTTCTTTTCTTCTTCTTCTTTCCTTCTTCTTCTTCTTCTATTATTTAATTTAATTTATGCATTCTCACATTTTAACTTTTTTCACCTTCAATCCCCTGAAAAACATAAGTGAAATGTTATTGAAATTGAATTTCAAACTGATAAATATTTATCCAGCTTATATATTTGATTAACAATTTACAATAAAATCCTTTGGTAAGAGCCTGGAATTATATTTCTTTTCTGCTGCTCTTCCATTTAAGACTATTAAAAGAAACCAGTAAATCATTTAATCTTTTGAGGTTATTTTATATCATGATATTTAATATTGTTATCTTGCAGGACCAACTCTCTAGAGAAGAATTGTTAGAAGCTCTGTATTTGGAGTTTGTAAACCGTACTAATGAAGTTGGTGTGGATGTTAACTTAGCTGTTCAAACCAACTACACTGCCAATTTAGTGCAGTTTGTTTGTGGCTTGGGCCCACGTAAGGGACAGGCCCTGCTTAAAACTCTAAAACAGAACAACCATCGACTGGAGAACCGTACACAGCTTGTCACCAATTGTCATATGGGACCAAAGGTGTTCATCAACTGTGCTGGTTTCATCAAAATTGACACTAATTCTTTGGGAGACAGGTGAGATCTCGAAATGATTTGATTGTTATTTTCGTAGAATTGTAAAACTGTGTCTCTTCAGAAGCAAACTGAAAGCTTTCATTGTAAAACTTTTGAAGAATCTAGAGGGTTGTTTTTTGATGGGTATTTGACAATGTCAGATAAGGATTTTGCAGTTTCTAGAATCAAATTTTCATGTTACATTATTTCCAATGCCATACATATCTGCCATACAAATTGTTTGACTGGTCAATGGATAGCCAAATATCTCTTGTTCTTTTCAGTCTCCTGAAATACGTATTGCACTGAGGTGTCAAATACCCTTCGTCAATATAGATATACCCAGAATCTTTCTGACTTCTATTACTTCAGGAAATTTCAAACCTGTTGCTTACTCGATTTTTATAACAGAATTTTAGTAGAAACAACAGGAGTCTTGCATATATCACTCCAGAAAACCTGCTGCTTTGATTTATAACCAGATGTCTTTGCCAGAATAACTTGTTTCTTTACAAATGTCCTTGATACATTCCTCCTTAATGCAATCCTCTTCATTTGATGACTAATTGTTTGTTGCTGCTTTTTGTCACTAGTTTAATCAGCCAAGAGTACATATTGGAAATGATTCAATTACATCAAAATATATTTTTCTCTCAAATTAAACAATTTTTTGGTCAATAATGTTATTGAATCTACTGATGTTCCCACAACAGCGTGTGCACATAAATCACAATCCTTTTAACGCCAGTATATTCAATTGCAGCTGAATTGCACTCACCAAACATCACTGTTGGCCTCTCTCTTGCAGTAATTGAAATAAGAACCCTTAAATTTCAAACACAAAGTGAATATAATATTTGTGAATTTCTGTAACTAGAATCAATCTGCTAATGTTACCTTCTCCACTTCCACGGATGGCTTGTTTCTTACTTAAGAATCACTGATTAAGATTCACTGGAGTACCTTCTTCAAGATTTCACCAAACTTCCAATATCCTGAAGTCACTTCTCTTTGGATTTTAAAACCATAATGACACATGAATATTTCTGGGGTCCATTCATTAGCAAACACTCGCGTCCTTCAATAAACTAGTGTCTATAGTAACCAATGTTACATCCCTCAGTTGCCTATTTTCCATGAGTTTATACAACTCCAATTTATAGTTTCATTTCGTAACAAGTTGTCAGAGAGAAATGCATGACCCTGCATTTCGATTCATTCAAAGATAGCATCAAGGCTCTCAACCACTCTAACTCTATTTAAGTCCTCTTGAAGGTGGATATAGTTCTCCACAGGATTAGAATAGAATTGGGTATTGTCTGCATAAATTTTGAAGTGGGAGTGATCAGAAGAATCTCTCGGAAGAATTGTATGTTCCAATTCTATTCTGAAATTCACCCTTGTTCGTAATGAATTTATTCATTTCAATTCATGTAACAGACAAACTGCCCAGTTTTTCATTTTGTGTACATTTAGACATAAACTTAGTAAACATATCAATTTGGATTATTTTTATTTAAAATCGGTCAGAATATAAGTTAGCTTTATTAATGAATTGTTCAAGTGTTCAATTGAACACATCCTTTTTCATTGTTTGCAACTGCAAAAGTGCATCTGAATTCAATTCCTGGTTAAATTTCACAAATAGTATATCAAAAATTGCTAGCTTGCCTATTCATTAGCTGTAATTGTAATATTTCCATAATATTTCTTTGTGTATTCACAGAGCTTTGTGGAAAATAAAATGTTTCGAGAATTCCTGTAATGATTTGCTCAGCTGGACACAGTTCAGTTCAGACACTTAAATCCAGTCGCTCTCAGTGATGAGGCCAGCTCGCCAAAAGTGCTATATCTAATAGTTCTGGCAATGCCGTTATTGAGAGCATTACCAGACCTGTTATCAAGGTGTAGTCTTTGTGATGGAGGTTGGAAAAATGATGGATTACAAATGGTGGAAGTGTCACCAGATCTCTCGACACTTTATTTCTCAAGTGTTTCTGTTAATTATCTTCTACACATAATTGATCCCACTTTCAGTGGAGGGTGGAACTAAACCTTGCATACAGTAAACCCCACAAGGCATGTTGTTATCCTATTTTACAATATTTACAACTACAAACATAAAATACTACAAAACCATTCAGTTATGCTTATTCTTAAACCATCAATTATTAAGTGTGTGATTCCTGCATTTCCATTCTCAACAAAGAAAATTATTTAATTAACTTTTGAACTTAAATTTAATACAGAAATGTTTTATAGTGTGGAAGAAGGTAGCTTCATACAGGAAAAATATAAATAATGGAGTTAACATATTCCTACATAAAGTAGAGAAGTGGATAGTTGTCCTTGTAAGGTTTACCTAATGATGGTTTTAACAGAATCTTCACTTAAATTAATTATCCTTTTTCATATAAAATTTTTGTATAATATTCTATTTATATTTAAGCATTTTAAGTAAATTAAAAACTGTATAACTCATGTAAACATAATTACTTCTACCAATATCCTTTTTAACAATTGGTGGTTATAACAATTCTACTTTTTTATTACCCGCTAAATTTGTGTAGGTATTCTGTAAGTAGGACTATTTGTCCAAGATAGAATTCAATAAAAAATGTTTATTGAATAATATTTATATAAAACAAATCATTTTTATTCTCTTAGTATTGTTTGTATCTACAACAGTTTCCTAAAAGGATATTGTCTACCGTGTGGTCGTATAATTGTTCTTGTGTTAATAGCACTGAGGCTTATGTAGAAGTACTGGATGGCTCTCGTGTTCATCCAGAGACATATGAATGGGCTCGTAAAATGGCTGTAGATGCTTTAGAGTATGATGATGAGGATGCAAACCCTGCGGGAGCTCTAGAGGAAATTTTGGATTCTCCAGAACGCTTGAAAGATTTGGATCTTGATGCCTTTGCTGAGGAACTGGAGCGTCAAGTGAGTGTTGATAGTTACTAATCTTTTATGTGCATGCACCAAAATTAGAATTTATTTGCCGATTTATGTACATAAGTCACCCACTAAACCGGACACATAATCTTAAACAATCCTCATACACAGTATATTCTTGAATATGTACATTATCCATTTAGTTATAAAATTATTCCCTTCAAAGTATGTGCAGTTAATGTAGGTAATGATAATGATGTACAAGTAATTAAAGCTTCTCTTTTGATTAGGGTTTTGGTAACAAGAGCATTACTTTGTATGACATACGTGCAGAGTTGAATCATCGGTATAAAGATTTGCGCAGTCCCTTCACATCTCCAAATCCAGAGGAACTTTTTGACATGCTTACTAAAGAAAGCCCTGAGACTTTCTTTATCGGGAAGATGGTGTTGGCAACAGTAATAGGCATCTCTCATCGTCGACCCCAAGGAGATCAGCTGGATCAAGCAAATCCTGTGCGCAATGATGAAACTGGTCTTTGGCAGTGTCCATTTTGCCTTAAGAATGATTTCCCTGAGCTTTCAGAAGTGTGGAACCACTTTGATGCGGGTGGTTGTCCTGGACAAGCCACTGGAGTTCGTTTAAGGTTGGACAATGGCATTTCAGGTTACATTCACGTGAAAAACTTGTCAGACAAGCATGTGACCAATCCAGAGGAGCGTGTCCAGCGAGGTCAAATGATTCATTGTCGTGTCACCAAAATTGATGTTGAACGCTTCTCTGTAGAATGTACATCAAAGTCCTCTGATCTTGCTGACAAGAATCATGAGTGGCGTCCACCAAAGGATCCTTTTTATGACAATGAGGCAGAGGAGAGAGATCTCCAGGTGGAGGAAGAGGCTCGTAAAATGAAGCAAAGGCAGACATACATCAAACGTGTTATTGTGCACCCAGCCTTCCAAAACATCTCTTACAAGGAAGCAGAGAAGATAATGGATCAAACAGAGCAAGGAGAAGTTATTGTGCGACCTTCAAGCAAAGTAAATATTGCACTTAGTGTTGTTTTTATGTTGTTGTTTTTTTCCCCACTTCTATAATATCTAAAGCTTGATTTTCTTAAATAGCAGATAATATTGCAGTTCCTTCTAACATATGTAATATGTAAATTCATATTTCAATTTAAGAAATGTAAGATCAAGAAATAATACACAAAGAATGTTTTGTGCTCTTTATGTGCAAACATTTAGTAATTGACTTTAAAAGAATTTCAATGTCTGATGTATTTCATTTTTTCCTGTATGTTACTTATAAATGTTTCACTTTGTGTAGGGCGCAGATCATTTAACTGTCACCTGGAAAGTTGCTGATGGAGTATATCAACATATTGATGTGCGAGAAGAAGGAAAAGAAAATGCCTTTAGCCTTGGGCAATCATTGTGGATTGGAAATGAGGAATTTGAAGATCTGGATGAAATCATTGCTCGTCATGTGAATCCAATGGCGGCTCATGCACGGGACATTCTTGCCTTCAAATACTATCGAGATCTTACTGGAGTAAAGGATAAAGCAGAAGAGTTACTCAAGGAAGAAAAGAAGAAAAATGCTTCCAAAATCCACTACTTCATCAGTGCTTGCAAAGTGAGTTCACTTTAGTGTGTTATAGTGTCTAGCTTGTCAATGTAACTCGTGAAGCTGTTATTAAGCCTTTAAAGCTTGAATACGGCTTCTTGATTTAACGTCTACCATCTATTAAAGGCTTGTGAAGAGCATTTATTACCCAATTTTGTATTTCTGTGAAAATATCATTGAATTTGTCATTTTCATAAATTTGGCACAACATTCTTATATTAAAGCAATTTCTTTTGCTATTAATACTCATTTTGTGTCATTAATAATATGAAATTCAGCATGTGGGCAGTATGAGCAAGAATTATGTCAAACTCTGGGAAGCTTTTGTTGTTGTTTGTAGAATTATCCTGGAAAGTTCCTGTTGTCATACCTGCCTCGCACACGTTGCCGCCATGAATTCATCACAATTTCGCCGGAGGGATTCCGCTTCCGACAACAGATGTTTACTTCTCTGGGACAGTTGTTCCGGTGGTTCAAGGAACACTTCCGGGATCCAGTTCCTGGCACACCCAGCACACCACGTGGGGCTGTTACAGGAAGAACTCCATACCATACAGCTACACCCAGCATTAATCTTGCTGGTATGTTTGATATGTGGTTTACAAGCTACCTTTGGACAAGCTATTTAGGGGTTTTAGCGAAAGCACCCATGTGTAGAGAGGCATCTGGGGAGCACAAATGATGCACAACAATGAGGTACAACAGATGTATGTTGTAACTCTGTGCCTCTGTGTGTTCTCTTACACTTCAAAACCATTTTCAAAAGGACATGTGTAAATTGGGTCTGTATGTTTCCCATTTAGTGCAAAAAAAGGAAAATTCTAAATCAGGTCAGATCCATATAACAAAGAAAATGTTCATCAATGTTGAAAATTTTTGCCAGCCAATTGTAAAATAATTTCCCTTTTCTTACTTTATTACAATAATTACACTTCATACAACTCTCATGATAAGACATTAAACTTTTGCTGTTTTTTCTAAGTTTTATCTTTATTTATTTCAAAAAATAATTGAAATTAATTCCATTTAACAAAAAATATTTTTCTTACAATAGTGCATATAATTATTCAAAAGATTCCACCATAGTAGCCGTTTTACAGGCGTGAATGTTATAGGTGTAGCAATCTTTGTCTACCAATAAAAGAAGTCATCCTTTTAATTGGGAAGTAGCACAGAGTTTAGGTATAACTCACTGGATATTATGATTTTGTATCTTGAAAGTTTTATTTGATATCCAATCATATCCATCAAAAGTATTCCCTAAATAAATATATTACTAATTCCTATTAGGTAGAAAATTACTAAAAATCTTTTAATTGCATATCCATGTCGTTAAAAAATATTAAGCCTTTTTACTTGTAAATTCACGTTGAAGTAATGTAGATTGTCCTCCAACTGCAAGTAAGTGTGCTTTATAATAAACTTTCTACAGTATAATGAAATATCACTGTAACAAAATAATTAAAAAAGCCCCTTCACAATTTTCATATTCTGATGTTTTACTGATTAATTCTTTGAAAACGATTACCAAGTAATTCACATGGACTTTCTTTGCAGCCTCGAATCCCACAATTTTGTTTTTCTAATATTTTGGAGTATTGTTATGATTTTTTTGAAAATGATCTACAACTGATGCACATTGTTTTTCTTTGCAGCTATGAACCCTGAGGCCATTCAGAGGGTAGCCCAGAGCATGCCCTCCCACATGCTGCATAGCCTGTCTCAGGTGGCTAGCCAGACGCCTCACTACCCTCACACCCCAAGTGGTGCAGCTGCTGCAGCTGCTGCAGCTGCTGGCTATAGTGCCAATGTGCATACGTACCCCAACACTGTAAGTTTCTCAGTGACATTTAATAACAGAGGGCAATTCAAAGCTTGGACCCTGTTTCTACCCTCCTAAATGTTTTTGATCCTCTTAATCTTGAATACAAATCTGTTTGTAAATCCTGTTCCCATTGTTCAAATTTAAATAAAAAAAAAAAACAGGCAAAAACTTAAGTGATAAAGTTTTTGGTAGGTAGTATTATTGATAGTCCTCTCTACTCCTGAGGGCACTTTCTTTTCCCCCACCTAAAACTGACAAATTTAATCATTTTTTTGATTGTCATCTCAATGCTCCACCTATTTCATTTCTATTGTGTTGTTGGTAATAATACTTTGAAGAACATAGCTGTACTTTTTAAAATAGGATGTGAAGGGAATCACAAAGCAAGTGTTCGAAGCAAGTAAGCTCCAGCAAACTGACCGTGCACTTTTCTTCATGACTTGTTCCTGCACTTGAAATACACTGGTACTTCAATTTTGACCCCCCTTCATATGGAAGTTTACTTTAACGTATGTCCTTAAAATACCAGCTTTATTAACTTTGTGTCTCGCTTAAAAGAATGAAGTCCACATGATAGTGGAACCTATATCAAGACTCAACTCCCTATTGTGTTGCTTGCAGAAACATTGACAGAGGAGTCCCAATTCGTGAATCCTTATCTCTGTGAAAATATATCTCCATTGTTTGTCTCGAAGCTGTCATTTGAGTTTGCTGGCCACAGAATTTTTGGAACTGAAAAGCTTGCATTGTGGCTTCAGATTTATTTTTCACATTTTTTTGCAGCAATAAAATAAAATATCAAATTTGTCTTAGGGCACTGAGTAGAGCAGTGGGCACTTATGTGAGCGTTGAGCTCAGAATCGCGACATAATCAAATCGTGTTGTGTGTCTGAGAGGGCAAGGCAATGATCCCCATTTCCGCTATTGTTATCTTTCCTTGCCAGATGTTCTTTTGGGAAAGACATAATGTAAGCCCATCTCTGCCGTACGTGAGGTGCATCTTCATTCTGCCCGCAGTTGTCAAAGTTGTGCACCATACGAAGTACTTCATCAGAACCTCTAAGTGTAGTAACCAAGATCAATCCTGTAAAGATGCCAAAGTCTCTCACTCACTTATGATTTATTAACCCTTCAGCGAGGTAAAGCATTCATTATAAAGAGAAAAGAAGAAGAAAAAATATCCCACGTGCTTTATTGATGACAATAAATCTACGGAACGAGTAGATCTAAAAGATCAGCACTTGTAAATATACCGTATTGAAATGGAGACAAGCATGAAATAGAATATGAAAACATTCCGAAGATTATTAAATGACACTGTGTCATTTATTATTTGGAAAAAGAATCATGCTGGGACAAGAATTGAAATTTTTGAAATTTCGTATTGATCTGATCGAGAAATTGTTATCTGCTCATTCACATGACAAAAGAGCAGTATGTGACCGTCGTTTGTTGAGCTATTTACATCGCTATTCAGGAAAACAATTTCTTGAAAGAATTCCATCTCAAGGGGACAAAATTAAACAAAAGAAACAACGTGTGGTATTCTCCAGAGTGGGAGACATCAAGGGCCTACGTTCTGGTGCCGAGATTGAAAAGTGGACTTTGCCTTACACTTGTTTTAAAAGTTATCGTTCCATAGAAAATTATTAGGAGTATGTGTAAGGAAAATTAGTGTGCTTTATTTTTAATTATGTTCTACTCCTAATATATATTGAATGAAGTACATACATAATATACATAATGAAAGTTTTGAAACATACTCATAGCTCTTTATTTTACTTTTGAACTTTTTATTTATTAAAATTGCTACACCCTTGATGGTACATCGTTATTTATGCAGACCACTGGAGAACATGATTTAGTCATTATGTATTTACTATCTTGAAGTTTCTTCTTTGTCTCAGATACGACTGATTTATCTACTTTATTATTTTTCAGCATTCGTGCTAATTTGTTTTCTTTACCCGTCAAAGATCTAATGTTCCATGTACTTATAATTAATTTTTCTGCAATCCACCACCTTTGTTTCGAGTTGTGTTGTCATTGAATTCATTTCCAAAGCTATTATGGTTTCTGCCAGTAATAAGTTGAATCCTCTGACCGTGTTAAGGGAACTGCACTGGTTTAGCATGGTGATGGGTTCGCCATCTTACTTTCTCCGAGCAGTTTATTCGAGATGCTGCTCTTGGTTCTTTTATTCTTTCCAGCATGGAAAGAATGGATCTCACCCACATTACCTTGAGACCGTTCATTTTTTCCCTCATTGACAGCACTGATTCCAAGCCGGACATTATGAGGTACTAACTTTCTCTTCTGGATTTCTTTTTCGTCTGGATCTTCACCATTGGCCTGTCCGGCAAGGCAGGTCCTGCTAGTAATTATGTTACCGCCGACATAGCCCAAAGGACCCTGAGACCACACAAGCACCTCCACCAACGAGAAGGTCATGCAATCCCTAGGGGCCCCATGTTTTTGCTTGTGCATAGTCCTATTAGGACCATGCGTGCATGCACCCTGCTTTTACCAGGGATCAGGTACATTATCCTTGATGGCAGGTGCATGTAATTTTTATCAGGGGATTAGCATTTACCAGGATCTTATTTTTATTCCCCAGGATTGTTAGTCCTGGGGGTATGGAAGATGAAATGATAATGATAGTCAGGGGGACAACAGACATACAGACAAAAACAAATACACACATGCCAGAAGCCGGGCTCGGAACCATGGTCTTTCGGTCCGAGACCACTACACAACTTCTGCCTTTGCAATCTTGACAATCTGACCAGCTATTATTATTATTATTATTATTATTATTATTATTATTATTATTATTATTATTATTATTATGGCAACTTTTACTATAATATTATATTCTTCCAAAAAAAACAGAATGTTTCTTTATACCCATAGATTCTGATAGTGTCACCCTTTTTTGTGTTTCCATTCTGATATCTTTTTATTGTTTGTTTTTCAGCCTTATACTCCATCTGGTCAAACTCCATTCATGACTCCATACCACACCCCTCATACATCACAAACTCCCCGCTATGGCCAGCAGACTCCATCTCAACAACAGCAGACTCAGCAACCAGCCTCACAACAAGGCTTCTTACATCCAGGAGCAGTGACTCCTGCACATCGAACTCCACGTGGTGCCCACACCCCTCACACCCCTCATACCCCGCATACTCCCCATGCACCATATACAAGGTAAGTAAATTTTGTTGACTTTAAATTCTTAAGAATCTGTACTTGTATTCGCCGTATAGCACCAGTATGTCACTTACCAACACTCTTTTTGTTAGTTATTAGTTCCTATTGATATATTACTCTGTTAAAAATTGTGTATCATTCCGCACCTACTTTTCCCATTTAAGTTTCTAGTTCAAATATTGATGTTCTTGTGTTCAACCCTAAGTTGTTGTTACAGTGTATGCTTATGTACTTTCAAGAACTGGATTAATAGTTCCTACTTAAAAAGGAGTATTGCTTAAGTGACCCATTCAAATTCATGGACTTCTTGGTCTGAAATGAGACTTTGGATGAAGCATGCAAGTAGTGACGTAGTGGCTACTCATTCTTTAAAAGGACATTTCCACTTCTCTTGTGTATTCTTTATTGGGCTGATTTTTGGACTATGGTTAAATAATGGCTATGTTTTTTGTAAAATTATTGTAATAATTGATTCAGGTAACTTATTTTTTGCCCACATTATGCTTTCAATTATAATTTTATCCTTCACATTACTCATTATTTAGTAATACATTTGGCATATGCCCATAAATGGATTGATGCAAATCTGAACTTGACATGTTTTTGGTCACTTAGAGAACTCATTCTCCCTTGGTAGTGGCATCTAAAAATACCCTTATTTTCTTTTTTATTTTAAGCAATCCCTTATTACTAAGGATACCCTTAAACCTGAAGTGTCTGCCTCTAATAGCAGTATTTTTGAGAAATCTGAGATATTTGTTTAGATTCAATTTTTGGGTTAAGGTGGTTAGAGCGAGATAAGTGTTATGTTTAACATGCCTCTTTTATTGTATTAATTGAAAGGTGTAAGGTTCTTCCATGTTTTACTGTCTGGTTTTCGTGTAACGAGAACGTAAAGTTCGATGTTTTAACATGGGCTCTTGTGGTGACCTGACAGATCTGACCTGAAATTTTGTGAAAGAATTAACTGTGAAACATGTTTTTAAAAACTCTTCTTTAGGTAGATAGATTCTCGAAGAATCAATATTCGCAATTTGAAGGACATCTACCATTTCAAATTGGAAAATATTGCTAAATTATAAGCTTAAATCAGTCCAAAAGACGTTTGCCCACTTTCTAGAGGGTTGGGACTGTGACGAGCAACTCAGCAACACCGCACATGCAACGTGTTTCATTCAAATCGAGTGACAAGCCCTCTGCAAGAATTCGTACATTCGTGTAGTTCTTCTGGAAGCAATTAAAATATACTCACTCCTGAAGAACATTGCTTTTGATAGTAACCAGATATTTAGAAAAGCTGAAATTTAATGGATATAATGATTAGTGCGATCTGAGTGAAAATATCACTTCAATTAGTACTCCCAATGAATAGCGTTGGATGATTACTCCCTATGAGAAAGTGAGTAATCTTGAGAGTTTATAGAATTTTTTAAAGATTTGAGTACAGTATAATTATTTTGTGTTGTTCTGTATGTCAGTTATTTCCTGAAAGTTATTATATATTGAATTATTCAAAATTTATTCTTCTTTAATGCAATGATAAAATACTGTTTTGCTGGTGTTAATATTTCAAGGTATAGGTAAATGCAGAGATGGATTTCCTTAATAACAAAATAAGAAGGCTTGGGACTCCCATCCCCCTACCCGGATTTTTTAAAATAAATATTAAAAACTTCATAAAATGTTTTATCTAAATAATCATTAATCAAACAGTTTACTGAACTACATTTATTTCTAAAATCAAACATTGAAATGGAACATTAAGAAATCAAACATGTATTGGTAAATGAGAAATTTAAGAAGCAATTTGTTAATTTACATCTTTATTGGAAAAATGATTTATTCTGTTGTAATTAGTATTTTAGATTTATTCATAACTAGTTTTTTTAATTTTAAAGATTTTTCTGAAGGAGTGCCCAGTATAGTTTTCTGCTTGAAGGCCTAAAGTATCTTAATCCACCCATGGGCAAATTTAATAATTACATTTGTAATCAATAATTTCATTTTATTGAAATTGTAAGAGAAATGCTATATTCAGCCTTTGGTAGTTTAAGTATTTTAGTACAAACCCCTTTTCTCTTCAGCATTATATTTAATCTAATTGTTTGCATTTTCTGAACTGTAGTAAAGCATTTGGAATAGTTCTCATGTCTTATTTTCAAATTATTTAAACCTCTTTTCATCTTGAGTGCACCATCAAAACAAACAATTACAGAAGACCATGCCACATGGAAATCTCTTTTGAAGATTTTATCTCCAACAATTTTATAGTTTTATTATTGAATATCTCAATAATACAGCTCTCAGAATTATATGATGCAGTCATTTCATTTTATCAGCCTAGTTTGATATGTACTTTACACAATATGCATCTAAATCAATATCATAGCATTATATAAAATTATACTGAACACAAGCAAATAGTTTCTATGAATTATCTAATCGCACTGCTGGAAATATTGGGGCACATTGCAATAGCAAAAATTGTCTTAAAATTTCAATTAAAACTAATAAAATATAAAAAATGAACTTGCAGAAATTAGCAAAAATAAAATAGGGGGATTACAGGAAAAAAACAAAAATATTGGCATAAGAAGGATAATAAGGAGCAATAGGAGTCAGTGACTACTATATCTGTCAACTTATAACGTAAAGCTCTATACCATGTTGAATAGTACCAATCTGCTGATCTTGTTAAGCAATCGAATAGTCTAATGTTTATACTACCATTGGCTCAGGTAATTCAAGAAATAAAAATTAGAGAGAAACAAACATTCAACAAATATTTGAAAACTTTTTTTTATGTCACTGTTCTCGTGATATTGGCAGAATTATTTTGTTCTCTCTCAAATTCCGCTTTGGAAATAAATATTCTGCCAAATCGCTCAAATTGTGATTTTTACCGCATATCGACCAGGCAACGATTAGAATTCAAAGTGATTCAAAGCAATGAAACTTTGAAGAAGCATGAGTCCTGAGCAGTCATGCCAATCTCAAGGACATTAGGGTGTTGCTCAATTTACTGAAGACTTTTCGCCCCACTTAAACATGGAAATTTTAGCCATTATTAGCAATCACTGTAAAAAATATATAGATATATGTCTATAAATGAATCTTTTATGATTTTGCTCATACTAATTGTGTAATGGTGCTTTTTTATGTTCAATCTTATGATTCAATTTTTCATTCCATGACACACGATCTGTTGGTACTTCGTCACTAGTCAACAATAGCTCTTTATGTGGTATTAAAATATTTTTATTTTACATCTATGAAACAAAATTAATTCGAATAACTAAAACTCAGAATAAAAGTTCCTATTTTGTTAATGTAGGTCTCACATACCCACTTACCTCGCAAATAAATATTTTTGAGCGTAATGTGGACTCTATCTACTAGGGAATATCTTGCTCTAACCACCTTAATTGAGAGATTGGTGCAATAAAAGTGGTAGGCATTTAACACTTGTTATTGCTGCAATTCTTTTTTGAAAAGACTTGAGGTGTGGTTTCTTTGTTGTTGAGATATTAGTTCTTTACCCACCATTTAGATGACAGACTAAAGCCCCAAGCTCACAAAACTATTGTTACAATGAAGGGACTGTGGTCAAATGATTCAGCAATGGATTGTGAACAATCAATGTGATAGAAACTTTGTACATTGTTACTTTACCAGGCAAAAATGATTCCCAGTAATTTTTTTCAAAAACTCAAAAGTTTTCAATAAAAAAGCTTCAAATTTCGCATTTACAGTTATGCTTAAACATTTTTTTCAAAAACTGCTCCATGTTTTTCAACAAAATTATAAGGTGAGATTTTACTCTTCTATAATATTCTTAAAGTCATATTTCAGTTCTACATTTAGGGGACCAAAATTTTGAGAAATTGTGAAAAAATATACTTTGTGTGCCAGTAGATGGCATCTGAGAAGTGGGTAAGGTAAAACTGAAAAACTAACCCATACCAAAGAAATTAGAGAACTAACTAGTACAAGAAGTACTGCGCCATTCAGTGACCCCACAAAGGACTGCAGAATTCTGTGGATTCCAGCTTCTGATTGAATTTCTTTCCAGGAATATGTCCAAATTTATTTTTCACAGTTTGTTAATCTGAACAGTCATTAGAAGCACAGTGACGTCACGTGGTTCAATGATATTGTCAAGTCATGAAAAGTGTTAATCATTAAAATCAAGCTTCGACATCAAAAGAGTAAAAGAAGCATTAGTTTGAATATCTGAAGACTAAATTTGTGGTATCTGCAGTTTTTTGAACCAAAAGTATTTAATTTCCATACATTCAAATATACTTTGTTAATACTGGCATTGTAGCAACACTCTCTTCTGTTCATAGGCCAGTACAAGGCAATGACCCTATGGACTGGCGTAAAGCGGCGGAGGCCTGGGCAAAATTGAAAAATCGAGAACCAGCAGGTACTCCACGCCCCCACAGGTAAATACTAAGATATTTGAGGTATTTGCATACACAGATTTCAATTGATAAGGTTTTGTTAATGTTTTTGTATGGTATAATTTTGAAGAGTAATGTAGAATTACATGCTATATTTTATTTTGCTCTCTGTCTAATATGCTAATTGTGAGCAATTGTTTTTAATATTTCATTTGCTTGGAACAATGAGCTCAAGTTCAGCATTAACCATAGAAAAATATGGCGTCTTATGCTGGAGTGTTCAGAGATGTTTTTGACATGTATCTTTCACTAAAAATGTTATTGTGGGAATAGAGAAAAGCATCAGGGGGGGGGGAGATTTTCATAATTTCTAGGAAATAGTCTTTAATAGCAAAGCTTCTTTCTCATGTATTGCATTTTTGTTAAGGTAAGGAGGATTTATGAAAAATTAATAACATTTGCTTACTTGCTATTTGAAATCGATCAGTAATTCACAGTTAAATTATGTAGTAAATTCATTTTTGATATTTTCATTTATTTACTCATTATGAAATATTTTATTCATTTATTAAATAATTGAAATAACTGATGTCCGTGATAGTGGATATTTGGATTTTAAGAATCCAATTTGTTTTTGAAGACTCATTTTTCAAATGTAACAATTGGAATTTTCTTGCAAGTAAGATTCATATTTGAAGAATTAATAATGAATTATATTTAGAATATCAAAACAAAATTGATATTTCAGTTTTCAAACAAAAAAATCATTCACAAAGTTTGTATCAGTGTCTTTTGAGTTTCTCATTTACCCTTCCTTGTTCTCTGTAGTTGTATTTATAATTTTCTTGTTTGTTTTTATGATCAACTAAGTGTATAACAAAACCTGATTTTATTTCAAGGTCTAAAGCTTTATACATATTTTGGTTCAGGTAAAATTACAATTGAGTAGTTCACTGCAGTAGCTGTGTGATTCCCGTGAAATCTACTCTTGCGTTATGATATACTCATTGTGATACTGCAGTGTGGTCTATTCCTGTCATCATCATTGTGTTTTGGTTGTCTTTAATTATTTCACCACCAATTCAACTTTATCACACACCATTTCAATAGCACTTCATATTCACATTTTCTCTAATGTGCACAATCACATTTCACAATCACAAAGGCTTTTATTCCATGATGCTTGACTTTCCAGCACTGGAAGTGGCTCCACTCCACGATCAGAGGATGGTCGTCGACTGACTCCGCGTTATGATGGTACAGTGGGTGTTGGTGGCAGTGCTCTACCTGGAAATTATGGCAGTGCTGGTCCTCGAAGTACTCCCAATGCAGTGCGTGCTAATTCTGCTTCAACAGCTTATGGCGCCTTTCCACCAGGGCGCTCACCACGGGGTAGTACATCAGGGCGTGATAGTGTGCGCTCTACTCCGCGCACAAACACAAGCCCTCACTCTATGGTGGAAAGTTCTGTCAGTGGAGATGCTACACCACTCTATGATGAAAATTAAATGTGATCCTTGCTAAGGGTCTGTCTTGACTCATGATGCAAAATGATGTGAAATATTCTTGCAGAATTAAGAATTTCATATAATTATTTCTGTTCTGCTATGGTTGAAACAGTATGTAGCAGGCAGAGGCAATTGAATTGTCTCAATTTTTGTGCTTAACTGCAGAATATGTAAGTGCTGGAAGCAATATGTTATATCACTTCCAATGGACAGAAAGATTCATCCTGACTGAGCAAATCATTTTTTTTTTAATTTCTGGACTTAATGTTTCAATTAAAATCTAATATTGCGGTTAGTATTTATCTCATGCAGACAGTAAAAATGATGTGCAGTGTTATCATTATTTCATCAATTGTTTCTGCAAATAGCTTTAAATGTTTTGTCCATTGGAGTTCTGAATTATACAAATCAACTTTTCTTGCATTAGCTAAACAAAAGCTAAAAGTGTGTGAATTAAATTGAAAAACTAAAAAGATTTTTCTGTATTTACCATTACCTTTCATTCATGTGAAATGAGAAAGGAACAAAGAATGCCTGAATTTTTGCATTCCAATATGTTCCAAGAATGCTTTGTTGAAAGTATGTGTGTTGTGTTTTATAAGACTTATTTGATCAGATGTGACAAATAGTAAATACAAAAATGCAGAAGTAATGTTTCTTTGCATTATACTTTGTTGACAATACTTTTTTCCATTAAATGTGATATATATCTGAAAGAAATGGTACTGGGTATTACTATCTAATAAGGTACTGTTATTACTTAATGGAATGTGCGTTTGCAATCAAATGTCATTGCATTGCTAGAGCGGTCAGGGGATGATGGCTCTCTCTTGTGACTGAGCCTGCTTCATAGGCTGAGGTGTTGAATCTTTGAAGCAATAAGGTTACAATTAAGTCTATTTATTTGTAATAAAGCAAAATATTGTTCACAAAGAGCACTTATATAGATCATCAGTCATCTTGTAATCTTCACATTTGTGTTCTTGGGTGTGCATGCTCAAAACTTGTAATATTTCAACTATTTACAGAGAATTTAACATAATTGTCTTGTTATGAATTGTATTTCATAGATATATGTGTATAAAAATACAACTCTTACTGAGGTTCATTCAAGTGTTGTGATTTTTAGTTTCAAAAAGTGTTTCTAAATTATAGTTATTTCATTTAAGTAATCTGGAAACATAATGTTCTTGGAAGTATCTCTCCTATTTATTTGCATTCTCTTCATCAGCATATAGATTGCAAACTTAATTTTTAATTAATGTGAAGAAGTTTGTTAGTTTGAAATTTGCTACGTAAAATGTAGCTAATTAAAACTAAATTCCAAAAATACTTTTTCCAATTTGTAGATATATTTATCTCCTTTTCATCTACGTAATTCAGGTAATTTCCTAAATGCTAAATTTAAGAGTATTTTCTTTTCAGAATTTCGTTAATTATCAAATTCTTTGATGTATTTTTCCACCTCCCAAAAATCGACTTGAGCTAGTCTTTTACAACGTGAAGTTGGCTCTCATCTTGAGAGGGGATGTCTCTGCAGGGAAGTTCACTGGAGACACCTGGCAACAAATAAGCAACTGGGAGAGTAGCAGATGAAGTTGCTGTTGCTTTTGTTGTCTTGGCCAGAGTACTGGAAAATGAACGCCCGAGATCTAGAGGGTTCTTCACTAAGTATCGGCAATTCATCTCGGAAAAAGATACCTTGTCTGTCACTGATCTTGTGGATCTCCATCTCCTTCACAGTTAACACAGCAAAGTGGGGAAGCACAGAGATCGGAATCGTGCGTGGATTTGCCGCACTTTACGGCCATACACTACTGTTGGATATGGCTCAACCTCTGACACTTGAAGAAACGCAGGGGGTTTGGCACATACTGCCGCACGTGGAGATTATAAAACCTGCAACTTATCCTCTCTGAGAGAGATGCAAGATAAAACCTAAAGAATACAGTGGGAATGGATATCTCTCCCATTCTCCTTCCTCTTGATCATTGGACATACCTACGTTTCGCCCTGACTAAAAGAAAGACAGAAGTTCCTCCTCACTTTCGGGCGCAGTTATCATGAATCACCACTTCCTTGCACAGGTTAAGAGTAGGGTGAGTAGTCACTTCCACTTGGAGGCCGACAATTTGTTTAGTTTTGGAGATTTTTTCGATTTGCTCATCAGTGCATACTTCAAAGACAATGGTACCATTCCTCTGATGCACCACCACTTGGCGTTTACCGGAACTATCCTCAATGGCTTGCGCGAGACGAACCGGACTAGTACTTCGCCTGATCTTTGAGCAAATAGTGAGATGGCCCCTTGTTTTGCTTGTGGACATAATGTATCGTTAATTTAACTTCTCCCTGTAGCACGCCACTCACAGTTTTTAACTATTTTTGACAAATAAATAGGGTATACTATCGTTTAAGTTCCTAAGAACGTTTCATTCAGAATCTTGTACCAAACTCTACATTTATCATCAAATCTATGTTCAAAGGCATTTCGAAGTTTATTTGTAACACCAGGCACATAAGGGATAAATATTGTAGTAATATCAATGTCATGACCACTAATATTGTATGTCTTCATTGCCCAATGTAGATTGATTTTTAAGTTTCTCATGGTGATTTAACCTTTAATAGATACGTTTATTTATAAATTTCTTACGATAATCATTATCTATCAAATGTTTGACAATAGTATTCAAGTTACTTTTGTCATTAACTTATTAGGAAACATGTTGGGAAACATATCATTGGATCAGTGTTTCTGAACATGTTTAAAAGTTTGTCTGTAAATGGAAAAATTGAAGATGTTTCACAGAAAACCTTTGCGTTTTCCTCATACAAACCTCATACAAAATAATTTGAAACACTTCTACTTACAAATGCAATAATGTGTAGAACTTACTGGTAATGCAACTTGAAGTATCTCAACAAAGTTCAAGGTTAAAAAAGATTGTTTATTTGAGAGGAAAGGTCTATTTGTAAAGATCCCCCCTCGCAATCGCTTGCCAGGGTTGGGCGCTAGACGTCCTCGGCAGGCAAGTCGCTTACCTTTTCATGTCAATCTTCGACGACTGACGAAGACCTGTAAGGGATTAGCTCCAGTGAGCCGAGATTGTCTTGGGTTTGGACTCTCTGGGTTAGATTTCCAATGACTGGGCATCTGGTGTACTCAACAATCGCTACTGAATAAAAGTACAGGTATTCCTTCAAAGTGGTTTCTGAACAGAGCCCACTGTTTATTTCCAAAAATATTTCTACAATTACTGTTAACTGAATTTACAATTTTACCTCTTCATCAGTCATGAAAAGTGCCAACGAATTTCTGGCTTGTGTGTTATTCAAGAAGCAGCGACTAGAAGTATATTTTTGTAAACTGTCATGTTTTTAAATATTTATTTTAGAAAATTGAATTATTATTGATAGACAATAACATTACCAACATTAAACTGCAATAATCTTTGGGGGGAATCCAAAATGTACATAGTCACAAAAATGTTCGTAATTTTTCACGAAGTGGAGAAACTTTTAAGACTCAAGTTAACAAGAATTTCATTTCACCAATTAATTTTCAATGTATTAATTGTAATAAACATACGGTTAATTAAAAATATAAATAAATATTAAACTTTTTAATATATTTTTTGAAAAATGTTTGAAGATGCCTGTGCTGAATTCTAATTTCGATGGTTGAAGAATACGCGTTTAAAATATTACTTAAGGTTTTCCCAATTATTTTAATAGTAGGTTTTTTCTTCAAACGTGTTTTCAATGTTTTTTGCTTGGTAAGTTTTAATGAACATTTGATGTAATTTCGTGCAATACAATTAGTACATATGACTTGATAACCCTAGTGGCTGAAGTAAACAGTTGATTTGGTGAACTACATCATATTTGAGCTTAGCTTTTAAACAAATAGTCTTAAAGATAAACTAATTTAGTGTCTCACACATATTATGATGCTGTTTGTTCAACACGTTCAGGCACTGCATTTGAATTACAACTTATTTTGTGAGAGCTATGTTGTTTTTATTGGGTTTATTTTGTTACAAAAATGTGGAAATAATCTTAACTTTTCTCGCTTCAAAGCAGAAATCTATTTTTGCCCAGTGTGCTATAATTTTACTTTCCTGATTTCTGGGAACGGTAAGGAATGTAAAATAGATTATTCTGCCTCCCCCACCCCAGTCCACAATCACACACAACGTGGATATCGTGAAAACACAATTTTAGAGAGAAAAAATTTTTTACTGCAAGTGTACCTACATAAAACAAAAACATTTTTTTAAATAATTTTAGGCAGATGAAAACCTCTAAAGAAGTATGATCTCGATGTACTGAAAGAAAATCCAATCAAAGAAAGAATTTGGAGACTTCGATGGAGAAAATAGAGTTTGAACATTTCTAAAAATCCGGGATTTCGAGATCATTTTCATAGAAAGCGTTCGGGTTTTCAAGACTTCGTACATCATTTGAAGCACACGTATTCATAAATGCAATAATGTATACCAATTACCGGTGATGCATTAATAACGTGAAAATATGTCAAAAAATTTTATTTTTCTGATTTCAAAGAAAAACGAACACAGAAAATAGAAGTTTACTAAAAAAAATTTGGGTCCGATTTTGAGAAATTATTGTTTCTGATTTTTTTTATATTTCACTTAATATTGCGCGAAAACTATCAAATTGCGACTAAGGCGGACGGACAGATATTTTGCTGTCATTCAATTTTTCGGACCCACAAAACATGGATTCTGGCTGCATTGTATTAAAACGAAGTAATTTATTATACATTGGTGAAAATTGCAACACTGAGAAGGAGACATGCTATTACAATGGAATTTATTCCACAGGTTAGGAATATCACAATATACAAATAAATATAATTACGTATTTTGACCATGAGTATTTAGTATTAATACGGTGTGAAGCCGCGACGCTGTCATCAAAGCTTCTAGACGTTGTGACATGAATTCAAAGGGCCTGGATATGCTGCTCGAGAACACATCCACGCGGTTTCTATGCGTGACCACAAAGCATCGACAGGAGGTGGTTGCAGGAGGACCACAACGAACATGTTGCCGACATGATCTTATCCCAGATTTGTTCGATGGGCGACATGTCATGCAAACGTGCAGGCCAGAAAGACAGATATTCACAGAAAGCTTGCACATGTCTTGCGACATGTGGTCGGGCATTGTCCATCTGAACTATGGCATGTGGAGCTTGCAGGAGGGACAGTATCTCGGGCTCTAAAACCTTTCTTGATATAGCGGATGCTAATCAGATTGTCCTCAATACGTATGAGGCGAGATCGCACATTGTAGCCAATGGCACCCCAAACCATCACACTTATATCACTCTGACCTACGCAGCCATCGCTGTAACGCTGACTGAAGCGGGATTCTGTACACGTAGGCTTCCGCGGCTCGAGTCCATTACTTCTAGGCTGTCCGGGTGACGCCGCGTCGTTGGCAGATAGGCCGACGTTCAGTACCCTGAAGAAGCCTGCGACATGACAGGCGAAACGTCGGCCTATCTGCCAACGACGCGGCGTCACCCGGACAGCCTAGAAGTAATGAAGCGGGATTCGTTCAAAAACACTACATCGCACTATATTTTGTCACTCAGCACACCTGTGAAGAGGTTCACGTGCCCATTGCTCTCTGAGGCGATGGTGGTTACTGGTCAAGCGTGCCACTAGTCCAACGCTCTGCAGACCACAAAAGACGGCGTCGCGACGTCGACTCGGACATGACCACATTCGTTGCAGTGCACTGAAGTCGAGCCAACATTGTCATCTCGCGCTTTGGTCACATTGTGTGGTCCAGTACATACTCGTTGCTGTGTATGACCCTCCTCTATCCACTGGTTCCACACACACATAACATAGTAGCACACCTCGTTCGAGCGGCAATGTCACGTTACGACAAACTCGCTTTTTGGAAACCGATCATTTTGTTCTGTTCAAACTCACACAGACGCTGATATTGCGTCCTTTGGCATCGACGAGTCATACAGACACTTGCGTTTCAACGGCATTTAACGGCTCTACACCGATTGATTTGTGTGAAGTAATACTGACATTACTTATCACACAAAGGAGAGCGCTGCTAGACCTGCATGCCATCTGTATGAACATTTAATCACTTCTTATGGCTACACTGCTCCATACATCCACCTATGTTTGAGTGATTCCGCTCATTCCTTCTGGGTATTGCAATTTTCACATACATCAGTGTATATAGGGACAAAATGTATCCGCTCTTTCTTTACCAGGGGCTGGCACAATACTTTCCTTATGCTGCGCAAGCAGTATCGAGAAAATAAAAATCGATCATGCTCAAAATTTGTTCAAGAAAAAATAAGAGGGAATAAAGATTTGATGTGGGGAGGTTGGGGGTTTATACGCCAATTTAAAATGTGCAGTTTCCTGTGCTTAATTCAAAGTTTGACGGTTGAATTTCTATATTCAAGTCACGCACGTAAAATAATATGTGTATTTTAATGTTAACATTTTTATTGAAAGGTATTTTCAACATACTTTTCTTGGCAAGTTTTAATGAACCATTTCTTGCAATACAATTGGAACACGATTTCATGGCCCTAGTGGCAGAAGAAACAAGTTGATTTGTTGTCCTACGTAATATTTAAGATTAGCTTTTACCCAAATTGTCTTGAAGTTGCTTTGCTTTTACACAAAGTCTTGAAGAATCACAAAGTTTTAGGGGTTCATACACATTATGGTGATGTCTGTACATATTTAGGTAATGCAAGTAAATTACAACTTATTTATTCAGAGCTATGTCCTTTAGTGGGTTGTTTATACTATTGCAAAAACCTGAAAAATCTGCATAAGTTTTCACGTGAAACATCTGAGAGTTACAGGAAAATGGTTAGACGTGTGCATTGCGAATTACGAAGATAGGCAGAACCTGTAACCTACTATTGACTTGTAATAACCATCTAACTTTTCTTGCTTCAAAGCAAAAATGTACTTTTGTCCTCTTTGTTCCGAGGGTGTTATAATTTTACATCCCTGATTTTCAAGAACAGTTGGGCATCTAAAAAAGCTTACTCTGTCCTTCCTGGCCCCTTTTGCCCCAATCCACTATCAGACACAACTTGGTAATATTGAAAATTAAGTTTTATTTTTGAGATAAAAGAACATCTCACTACGAAAAAGTGTAGCCAAACAAAACAAAAAAACTTTTTAAAGCATTGTAGGCAGAGGAAAATTTCTAACGAAGAATAATCACGGCGTTTTAATAAATAAGAAAATGGACACCTATATGGTATTTATTCATAAGCTCACGGCTTCTGTATTTGGGAATTTATTTCTTGGCGCGTAACGACCTGTCTTCACGATGGAATATCTCACGTCATTTCGCGTCTTTCTCGTTCGTGCCGCTAGATGTTGCATGATCACGACCGTTTCGAACAGTGCTGTCACCGTGACGCTAGATGTCGCATGATCGCGATTGAACCGAGCACCTGTATACTCTATACCTTAATATACTCTCTGCCGAGCACATAGAAGGATAGATCGGGATAGATATCAGATAGAGGAAGGATAGACATCAGCAGTGCTGGATTCCTAGTCTGAGCACAACTCCACAACAATACATGATCTAACGGAGGGCTCAAATCCCCAGGGTGGGTTCCAGAGCTTTTCGCTCTTATCCGCATTCCCCACCGCCGCACATGTACGGCAACGGGCGGAAATCCGGATACGGCTGGAACCCAGTTCCCCTCACAGCAACCTCGTCACACTATGCCTGGGTCGAGCCGCCCTGCTAGCTCAGAGCTCCTAATATCCAAGCAAGTACCAACGACAATATTGCCGTATGACAACGCGCCACTCACATGCGCCGGGACACCTCCCGTCTCTCCAAGTCTCTCCTCTATAGGACCAGCGACACTTTCTTTAACGTCCTTTGCTATATACGCAGAAAATTGGAGCAGTTTCTGAGGAAATAATGGTTTAAAATTTAAAAATTGGCTGTTTCACACAAAATTACACAAAGTATACTCATATTTTCGAAAAATTGAACCCAACCCTATTTTGAAGATGTTTTTGACGAGCACATTTCATTTAGAAAATAATATTCAGAATAATTTGTAGTTGTAGAAAGACGCAGAAAATTTTTGCAATATCCGAACAATCAGGGATTTTAACGAAAATGAGATCTGCGCCATTTTCTTAAGCGTTCTTTTCGCTATCCAAAGTCAGCATTCAATCAAATAATTGTTGTTTTAGAAAAAATGTTTTTAAACAAAAATAAAAATTACCTCTATTTCACGCGAAATTACGCGAAAACTACTTTAATTTTCGAAAAAGTGTACACGACCTTATTTCAAAATTTGTCTTTAAAAAACAGATTTTATTGACGTTTTGTTTGCGAACGTTTGCAATTTTCGAAAAATCAGGGATTTCAACCATAATGAGATTTGCACCGTTATCTTAACTCCTTCACACCATCCACTGACAAAATTTAATTTAAAACCTTTTTTTGTAAATTATGGTCCACTCGCTTTACGTTGTCTCTCCCCCAATAAATTAAAATATGTTGCAATTTCAAGGAGCCCTGATGCAGCCAGATCGCAATTTCGGGGAAAATCTTCCGTCTGGAAGTCCATTCCTATTTGTTTGTTTTATCTTTTTCTTTCTTTCTTTCTTTCTTTCTTTCTTTCTTTCTTTCTTTCTTTCTTTCTTTCTTTCTTTCTTAGGTTTTTTCTGACGATGCTCAAACAAAGAAAACAATATTGAAATTAGATTAGAATTTTAGAATTCCTTACTTAGACATTATTGTTCAAGTACTGATTCCCATTTGTACTAGAGCATGTCCAAGTTTCTAAATTTATAACACGATGGTACTATAATTACTCTATGCCGAATTGCCGATCGCTGGGAGCACGGAATCTCTGTGAACAGCTGCGTTCGAAGATGTTTCGTACTCCCAAGCAAAGATGGTGGATGTCAAACCTGACGTTTATTGTTCTGATATAAAATTGAGCAATTGTGAACGTTGAAACTTGTGTCAAAGAGCCGTCTTCGAAAAAGGCATCATGTGAGCAGCACACGAAAACATTCTGCCTAAACACATCTAGGCATGTGTTGGAAAAGCCGATGTTTCCTTTATTGATTGTGCGACTTAGTACTCCGTATCAGACGTATTTGTTAATGATATGATAAATTAAAAGTAGTTTTGAAGGGAAACGTACCACGCGCAAAATGGAAATTGTCGGTGAATTTGAATACAGTAACAAAGACCTGATAGGTCATGGAGCTTTTGCTGTTGTCTTTAGGGGAAGACACAGAAAGGTAGTGTGTTTGGATTAGTCATGGCAATGTTGTGTTTGCAACATTGGTACATGTGTGTTGATAATGTTCCTGTATGTGAATTTCAGAATCCAAGTTTTGTTGTTGCCATTAAAAGCATAACAAAAAAGAACCTGGCCAAGTCACAAAACCTTCTTGGAAAAGAAATAAAAATTTTGAAGGCAAGTATTCTGGAAATCTTTTGCTATATTTTTGCATTTTCATTGAAATAAGTTTTTCTTGAAGTAATTATAAAATGAAATCCTACTATGCTAATGAATAAACCTTGAGTAGTTTGTAAATAGTGCTTTGTGAATTCAGAAGTCAATTTGTGTTGATCAGGGCCTGAAATATATTTTGGTGAAATTATTGGTGTAGGATATAAATATTGCACCAAATTTGTTCTGTTTCCAATTGATTTGAAATAATTTCAAACTATATAAAATGTTTGTAGGAATAATGTAGATAGCTGTAAGGGACCTTTTATATATTAGGAGCCCATCATTTCAGTGATATTTTGAATTATTGGTTTCTATATTTATGTATGTAATGTAAAAAGAGAATATTTGAAAGTGCAAATTTTTGTATTATAAATTTATTTTTAAACTTTGAGTGGGGATGCCTGGATTAGTCTCAGATAGTCTCACCAGTTTGTGTTTCAGCATTGAGATCAGATCAGATTGAGATTTAGACTAGAATCAAGAAGGCAAATTAGTTAGGTCATGTTGTGTGTCTTTTTTTCAAGAAAATCATAGGGAAATTGTGACATTTCCTGTGAATGTTCCTGATTAACAGGCATGAAAATGCAGGTTTTATTATTAAAAATGAGGTGTAAAGATCTGTGTGAAGAGTTTATTAAGTCTTTTTAACAACATATGATACTTGATACAGCAGGGCCTGAATTAGTGCTATTAACCCACTAAGTAGTCCTCAAAAATTTCAAGATAATGTTATATCCTCAACGACTGTATTTTATTGAAATTGTTATTCAGATCAATCGGAAGATTGAAAAGAAGTAATGAATAAAGAATGGAAGCACATTGAGAAAACTAAACTTGGGGCCTGGATGAATTATTATCTACAAAAAGAGCTATCCCAAGCAAATAGGTCTTCAAGGGCCAGTCTGATGGATCAATTGATAAAATTTGTCAAACAGGTTCTTGAAAGCTTCACACAAGAAAGATGTTGATTATTATCAAACGTTTATCCCAGTTGTTATAACTGTCCCAGTCTGGGCTTTGCTTAGTGTTACTGCCTGTGAAGATGAAATTTGTTCAAATAGATGTATTGAGTGATCTTGTAAATGGAAAGAAAGATGTAAATACAAGAAAGTGTAAAAATTAAGAAACTTGATGGTTCTGGAAAATTGTATTTGAAGAATAGCTAATAATTTAAAATGGGCACCCCACTTCAAAATGAAAAAAACAAAACATTGACTATCATTGGTTTAGGATTTCATAGATGTGAAGAAGATCCATGTCTCTTCATGAAACTGAGAGGCATTTGTAAAATTGTCTTTGTTCTTTATGTAATGACATTGATTGCTATCAACAGTGATCTTGAAGTTCCGTCTGTCTAACATATGACAATATAAATATCATGGGATTCATATTTTTATGCTCGTCATGATAGGCTAAAAAATATGTATAATTCCATTTGATTAAACAGTTACCTTACTATCTCGTAAAATGGAAATAAATATATGTATAAACTAACCCTATTCTCTCATGTACATCTGTGGAAGCTGCATTGCAATAACTCAACCATTCAAAAGTTCCAGGAAGTGCTAAAGTTATGTGACTAACCCTGAATATAAAAAACAGTTGGCCTATCTGTGCATCAAATGAGGCACAAATTCCAGAACAATTATTTCTTTTGTTAAAATTCATTTTTGCATCCTTTTTGTACCATTCGAATCTTTCTCTGATTTGATATTTTGGATTCTACGAGTTCTTGGAGCATATCTCATTGTTAAATACATTTTGCAAATGTGAAATATTATTAGTGGAAAAAGTTTTGTTTTGCATTGCTTAAGGTTGTTTTTCATTAAATGCTTCTGTACAAATATCTACAACTTGTGAATTGCATTTCTTTTGGAGTCTTGGAGAGATTTCTTTACTTTCTTTAGAGCTTTTCTGAAAGTTTCAAATCACATATTTTGTTTATGCCATGTGTGATGTAGTTGTTTTTGTTTATCATGGAGGTGTAGGTTCAGGATTTTGTGAGCTTTTAAACATTACGGCAAAATATTAGACTCTGTTTTCAGCCTGCCAACCTCTCTCAAACCTTTCTCCGATTTTCTTCACTTATATTTTTACGTAAAACTAATATTCATTATTTTTTTCATGTCTCTATATTTTCTTTTCTCGTTCTTCTTGATGCTTTTGATATCCCAAACATTAAATTGTAAGGGAAATCATCTAAAATTTTAGTATATCACCCATCAATAAACATCTAAATAGTTACAATTTTCAACATAATGAACAATAATGTAGTGTATGTAAATTCAAAAAGTTATGCAACAAAAAAGAAATGTGTGTAGATGCAAATAGTTATGCAATCAAAAAAATCTATGTTTAAATGCAAATTGCTGTGTGATCAAAAATATCATCAGTATAATAAAAGTATTGATACTGATGACACCTTTTCTCAAATTGAAGTGAATTAATTAAATTAAAATAAAGTTTTTACTGCTGGGTTGCTTCAATGCAATATTGAAGTAAGTCATTCCCTGGGTAAAAAATACAGTTATGCAAAATTAACGATTTCAGGGGTGAAATGGCCTTCACAAAAAAACCATCAAATCCTTTAAAGAAATCCTTCAAGTCTAGAAAAAGTTGTTTTTTTAAATCGTGATGATTGGATATCTCACCTGTCATGTTTTACACACAAATATCAACCTTTCAAGGGGAAAAAATCCTACTTTGTAGGTTCAGTAGTATGGCAGATTATCTACTTCACTGAATTGAGGAAGACTCAAAGAATAGAAAGTGCAAGAAATAATACATTTATTGTTGTGATGTCCAAGAAAAGTAAAGCAAAAATTAGGATGATTCCAGGAAATAGTGTATTTTCTGTTGAATAAGCTAAGGGAATTGGAGTTGATTATTTCTACCCATGATTTAAATTACTGGTTATATGAAGAGTCCACTGTGTCCAAAATCACTGTGTCAACATTCTCTGTGTCCAAAATCACAATGTGTGCCAAATGCCGCTCTGTTTTACATTATATTAGTGTAATTAATCTCAGTATAATAATGTAATTTTAATGTTCATCAATGTAATAAAAATTTTAAACATGTTTATTATATTGGTAATAAATCCATTGTTATATTTTGACTTGTTTTTAGGAGTTAACTGAACTCCATCATGACAATGTGGTTGCATTACTTGATTGCAAGGTAAGTTCCTGACTTTTATTTGAAGTTTTAACATTTTAATAATAATAAAGTTGTCATTATTAATGGCAAGGTTCATGCCATTGGGCATGCTTTTCCATCTGCGCATAATAAATATGTACGTTTTTTAAATAATAAAGAAATTGTACAATTACAGTCTTACCACCCCTTACTTAGCCTTGAACTGAAAATTCCCACTAATAATGTGCTACAGCATAATGATTGTACTATGATTTTAATACATTTGTATCTATATCAAACTGTTTATGTGACCTAAATAGCATCCAGATACAAAAAATTCACCAGGTTCAGAACTTACATCTCTATTCTATTATCACCTAGAAGATTGTCTACGACTTGTACCAATCAAGACAAAATATGTATTCAGGTATTTCATATGGTAGTGTAGTCAACTGAAGAATACGATATCTTGGAAAAAGGATGCCCACAAACGTTTAAAAAAACACAATTATCTGCTTTACTTTTCACTATTTACAAACCCGAGTCAAATTTGCAAGATTTTACCGAAGAGAGATTTATGTACATGTAATAAATTTTTGCAGATTGTAATTATAATGAAGATGAATAACTTTTGGAAATGCATCCAGTCAAGAAAATCTACACAAGATTTTTCTAATGTTATACATTATGAGAATCAACAACTTACTGATAATTTAACAATCGCTGATGCTTTTCCAACTATTTTTTTTACAATTTATGAACTACCTAATAACCTATTAAAAATTAGTGATACAATATATTTAACCCCCTATAACATTAACTCATTGATTATATCACTACAGGATATCTTCGAAAATATAATTTAACTTGCTACTCATAAAGCCCAAGTCCAGATGGTATTCCCCCTATTTTATTAAAACTCGTGATGCTAAAACAGCAGCAAACAATGTGCTTTCTCCCCTTTTGTAATGGTTATGCAATACTATTTACATCACAATTTCACACCAAATTAACACACCTGTCGTAATGTTTTGTAAAACTTGCTTGAAATTCTAGAACATTTGGTGCAAGAATTAAATACTTTCAAGCAATAGATTTTTTTTTCAAATATTTACATGAAAATATTTTTTTGGCATTGAATTTGTTGTATAATGTATGCAGTGTATTCACGAATGTAAATGAAGAGTTTTTAGCCTTATTCTGCATAAGCAGATAGTGAGAAAGTAAAATTATTAAAAGTTAAAAAAATAGTACGATACTGATAGTGTTGGCAAACAAATGGCAATAGATAAAAAAATGTATAATAGTATTATAAAATTCTCCAAGTGTGCGTGTTTCAGCACTAATTACATGTTACTCCACAATATATTTTCTGTTTTCAAGTTAAATAAAAAATATGTATAAATAAATAAATAAATAAAAGAAAGCTTCATAACAATTGCATGTCAATGTCAAACAATGAGAAGAATTCAGAATTTCACATTTCATAATCTTATATTGTTGTAGTTCAACAAGGAACTTCTGAAATGTACATTGCTTCATTGTTTCCCATGGAAGCGCCTATAGTAATATAAAATTATGTTCAAGATAATTAATGGTACACAGTTTTTTTAATTTTATTTTTTCATGTAAAGTATTAAAATAATGCGAATACAATCCAAACCCAACCAATTCAAAGGGAGTGCTTGTGATGGATTCTTGCATTTATTTCAATAGCCAAGAATAGTAGTCATTACTATAATGATAATGTCGCATAAATACAGCTTAAGCTATTTATGACAAGTTGGTGTAAGTACATAATATACAATGTACAATACAGGTATTTCTAAAAATTAAATACTATACAGAAATTAAAATTCAAATTATTTCTTATACTAAATACGATTTAACACAATGCTAATTAATTTTATAAATGGTAGTGTAAAATTAAAAACAATAAAAAAGAAAGAAATGAGAAAAGACAAAAAAAATTGCCTTCATTGGAGATTCATGCCTGGGCTGGGCCCATATTTTGTATCCAGCAACCAGTTTGGGGGGTTTCATGCAACAGAATATGCAAAATTATTAGTACTAGTTTACATTGACGTATACACTCCCCCCCCCCCCGCACACACACACACACACACACACACACACACACACACACACACACACACACACACACACACACATTCTTCTCAATATTCTTTTGTGGATGATGAAAGTGTTAATAGTTTCTGGGGGATTTACTCAGAGTATGATTCCGTATTTAAGGTTTGAGTGAACATTCACAAAGTACACCATTCACAGTGTATCTAATTTAAACTTGACTTAAAGATGTAGATGGCATGACATGACTTGGTTGTTGTTTAGATCTGTGATGTAGGATTTCGATTATAGATCATCTTCAGTAGTCAATCCATTGAAGAGTTGTTTTGGGGCTATTTTTACAGGCATGTTTTTTATCATCAATTGAGCTGGAGGCTTTTCTTTAGAGTGGATTCCGAAAGTTTAGGACAGTTTTACTGATTTTTATGAAGAGTTTATTTTCCAGTAATCATTTTCCTAGTTCCTCTAGGGCTGTTTGTGCTTCTTTTTGTAGTTTGTTTTGTATTTTCTTTAATAATAATATTTGTTTCATCTGCAAATAGGACCATTTGGCTCTTTTGTAGGGTCAGTGGCATGTCATTTTTGTATAAGAGAAAAAGTAGAGGGTCTAGGATTGATCCTTGTGGAACTCCATAATTCATCATTCTAGGTTCAGAGAAAGGGGTAGACATTTTTTTATCTCTATCATGCTTGATTGTGGCTACTTGACAATGATTTGAATGGTAAGATTTATTAACCCATTGATGTGCAATGTTTCAAGTTTGGGTAACAGTATGTGATGGTCAATAATGTCGAATGCATTTGATAAATTTAGAAACAAACTGATGGGAATTTCTTTCTGATCTAGAGCAACGAGTAGTATGTTATTTAGAAAAGTAAATATCTTTATGTCTGTAGATCTACCATTTCTGAATCCATGTTGGTTCTCTGTCACTAAGTTATTTGAATTGAGAAAATTTTTGAGTCTGTCATTAAGAAGCTTTTCTAGAATTTTTAAAATTCAGTTAGTAAGGATTTTGATCTGTAATTCATGAATTTGTGTGTGTTGGCTGTTTTGTATAGTGGCTTAAGTGTTGCTTTTTTAGAATTTCTGGGAAGATACCTGTCACTAAGGAGTGATTACAAATGTGAGTGAGCAGTTCTATTATATTTGTTGCGGTATGTTTAATGAGGATGTCAGGGATATTATCCAGTCCTGTGAAGAATTTGTTTTTCATTTGATTTATGATTTTCTCTGCGAGTTTCAATGTTGAAACAGCTAAAGAACTATGAATATATGCTTTGCTGCAATTCATAAATTAAATTGTTCTTCTACTAGACTTCCTCAAGGTTTTTGACCATTTATCAAATTCAAAATCAGAAGCTGCAATGTATGATCAATTTCCTGTCAAAGGCTTTGGTAATTAACAGCTGCGTGTACTTTCACATCATTTAATTTGTGTCTAACGAGGGGATGTTGATTGTGATATTAATATGAAACAAACCTCAACTGTATTAGAACCAGAAAAGAGCTACATGTTACAGAAGCTCTTAAACGAAATATGAAACATCAAACAGTAACTTTAATGTATTAATATACCAAAGCGATTACGTACAGAAAATGGTAAATGAGGACAAAATACTCTAAGAAATAACTTTGCACAGTTAGTGAAAAATTTGTAGGCAACCCACAGCCAATGGACCCCTTGAATGTCATCTACACTTATATCTCCATCCGACTGGTTCACCGAGCCTTGTAGCAAAACCTCCTTGCCATCGATGATCATGGCATTAACAGCTGGTATGATTTAAATCAATTGATTATTTTGATTATTTTTTTAAATCAATGATTTGAATCAATATTTATTATCGTAATATTTGAAAGTATATTTGTATTTAACAAGTTGTATAATAAAAATTACTGTTAAAAAAAACTTTAAATCAATTACAAAGTTGATGTAATGAATATATTATATTTCTTATAAATTTTTTCACATAATTGAACTATTTTGAGGGAAAAAAGAAAAAAAAATTGTGTATTGATAAAATTTCATTTTTACTTAGAAGCATATTTCCCACTGATCATTTAAGGTAAAGGAAAAATGCACAAGTAACAACCATTATACCCCACATTTATAACAGGACAATTATTAAGTAGAATTTTATATTTTAAGAAGTGTCTATCATTGTGATACGTTTTTTGATGAATTCAGTTGTTTTCAACAATGTGCTTTTTGACTAGGGCAGTATTGCACAAAAAAATATTTTAAAAATTCCTTGAATTTTTTTCTAAATTATGCCAGTAGATGGTGCCACAAGCTTAATGTAGATGCAAGTGTGTTTCAAGAGCACGAAACCATAAGTAAATCAAATTGAAAGCTTTTGTGGGTTACAGGGACTTGCACTGTACCCTTCAAATATACAGTATCTTCATTGTTTTAGAATAAAAATACAACAATTAATGATAAATTTAAAAATTGATGTTTCAATAAACTTTTTTTCTGTCTTTAAAGTAATTAAGAATAAATAAATCACTTAACAATTTTGGTTTAAAATCTAATACAACTTTTTAAAACTTGTAATTAAATAAAAAAAATTCTGATTAAATTAAAAAACATGATTCTTTTTTAAAAAAATCATTATTTTTTCTCGGGAAATAGAACTGACCATTTATTGTTGTATTATTTTTTCAGGAAACTGCACACAATGTTTACCTGGTGATGGAAGTAAGTATGTTATAAATGCAATTCTATTTATTTTGGTGTGATTTTTACAAGTTCTGTAATTTATTGTCATTATTCATTTTCATCAAAATATTGATTTAAATAGGACTGTGGAGAGTTAACATTGTAAAAAATACCCATTATTGATATTGCATTGATTGTTAATTATTTTAATGAGACAATTGATAATCTCCAAGTTGAGAAAATTAATCGTGTTTTTTAGTGTATTTTCTTACCAACAAATTTGTTGTATACCAATAGTGTGAGAGTTGTAAAAATACACAATAACACAATAACAAATTTGAAATATTTTATATTGAGCTTTGATGTGTTCCATGAAATTTTGTTTGGGTGATTTTGTTGCGAGTGTGTAGAATATAATGTTTCTTCTCTAGAAAATAAAATATGCTTTAGAAGTTCCCAGGACCCTTGAATTTTGCCTTTCTCTTGAATCTTAATTTGTTGCTTAAGTATAAAACTAGTAATTTGGTGATGTTATAAGATTTTTAAATTACCTTTGTTGAAAGAATCATTTTAGTAAATTAAAAATCAGTAGTGGAGACAAAAATAATCAGATTCTTGAAACTTAATATCTGATATTTTATGTTCATGAACATTACTTTATGTATGTACTTTATATTTCAGTATTGCAACGGTGGAGATCTTGCAGATTATTTGGGGGGTAAGTTTTTTCTGTAATCGTAAACGTTAAATTAGAAAGTTTCAATGCTTTTTGATCCCAAGCTACATTCTTTTCTTTTCTTTTTTTTCAGTGAAAGGAACTCTTAGTGAAGATACAATTCGACTCTTTCTATGCCAATTGGGTATGTAATTGAATATATCACTTCCAAAACAATAAATACAAGGATTTTATAATACTTATATTGCATAATATTTCTGATTTTTAGCGGGAGCCATGAAAGCCTTACATGCAAAGGGAATTGTACATAGAGATCTAAAACCTCAAAATATTTTACTTAGTCATTCTGGTGGAAAATCTTGTCCACAACCTCATGAGATTAGACTGAAAATAGGTAATTCTCTTACACTGTGTGACTGTGTAATTAATAATATAAAATGTAATAGTTAATATTCTATAATCTGTTGATACTAAAATGCTTGTGCAATTATTTTTGTAGCTGATTTTGGTTTTGCGAGATTTTTACAAGATGGTGTAATGGCAGCAACACTTTGTGGTTCTCCCATGTACATGGTTAGTAATTCTCCTGTTGGTGTATAAGTATTTTTAAAACTAATATTCGGGAATATGCATATTGCTCTAATGTTTTCTAAGTGATCATAATAAGTTTCCAAATGATTTTTCCTACATTAAATGACATTGAGGTTTTTTCTAAACATTGTAAGTTTTACTATCAGAATTGTCTGCCTTTTGTCTTCAAGATAGGATAAGCGGGTAGAGCTTTCTTTTCTGTTTTTACATCAAAATTAACCATCTTCCAATTATACATCAGAATTAAAGTGAGTAACGGAATAAGATGATGAATGCCTGTATTTTCATTATCTTTTCTAATAAAATTACGAAAATTAATCAAACAAAACCTAATTTCAATAAAATCAATAAGAAACTAATAAATTACTGTTTTATTTCTATTGATCTGTTGGATGCTAATTAGAAGATAAAAGGTTCAAAATTTGGGATTTTGTGTGTGTGTGTGCGTGGGGGCGTGCATGTGTGTGAGTGGGTGTGTGATTTGTGTAAAGTACTCCGGGCAAATTGATTCAAAACGGCAAACAACTTGTTTTCTGTACCCCACAAATACTATTTTCAACATAAAAATTTTTATCCCGAGGCACTTTTGCCTATCTTATTCCGCTACCATCTTTCCTGTGAACTTGTAAATGTTCATGAGCCAGTAGGTAATGAATTTTCAAGTCTTTGTCTCATCTCAGTCTTCAATTAAAGAAAGATTTGTGAATTCAGACATAAAATGAAATTCTGCAGGAGTTGTGAAGTTGACAGAAGGAACAAATACACTTCTATTAACATGACTTACGTTCATTGTAAAAGTTATATTTTTAAAATTTTAAAAACATTACTAAATAAATAAAGAGTAACATTTTCTTTCTGTTTAGACATTAATTTTGCACTATACGTTACTTTTATAGGCTCCAGAAGTTATTATGTCCCTCCAGTATGATGCCAAAGCTGATTTGTGGAGTCTTGGCACTATTGTATTTCAATGTTTAACTGGGAAAGCACCATTTCAAGCTCAGACACCTCAAGCACTTAAACAGTTTTATGAGAAAAATGCAAATTTAGCTCCAAAGTAAGTTTTAATATTTCAAGTTTTTAAATTATTAATTTCATTTATTTTTTTGTGTGATAAGGTAGAAAATTTCAGAGGTGATGTTGCAAGACAAAAGCTTCAACATGAACTGAACCTTAATCCACAAATGTCTTGCACGAAAGTTAAAACAAAGGTGTTGACAGTGTGGAAAGACAAGATTCTTGCACTACGTCTATCAAAATATTGTTGGTCCAATTTTTAGGAAAATCTCTGAATTTTTGAAAATAACAACATTTTTTCAATTCCCTCCAACTACATCATTGATGATAAAGATTATTCTGAATGAAATCTTTTCCTCAAAATTTGATCATTCATTGATGTCATGAGTGATTTTTAAAAACTATGAGTAGTTTTCTCATGATTGTAAATGAAATCACGACAAAAAACAAGATGTTTTAAAAAAAAGCTCCAAATTTTTTCTTAAAAAGGTTTGCTCAAATAGTGCAAAATTTTGCTTCATAATGTTGCCTAGTTAGTTTTCAAGCAACCACTAGAATTTTGAAAATTGACAAGATTTAAAATTTTATTGACACCCCTCTACTTTATTAAAGTCAAAGAGTTTTTTTTTTCTTCTCATTATGCCATATAGTCCTCCCCATTGATATGAAAATAATTTCATGTAACTTTTTTCAAGATATTAGTAATTTTCTGGTAAATTCGAGTTATACTGTAACCACTTTTCATCTTGTTGGAACCACAGTAGCATTAAAAATTCATTGTAGCAGCTCAAACATGTAAATATTGTAGCACAGGGGAAAGACTTTCACTTGAGAAACCCAAGCTGTATAGTTGAAATTGCAGGAAGGAAAATAAGGTGAACATTACAGAAGTACCTAATTTTTGTCTTTTTTATTTTTCTTTTTTCCCTCCCCGTTTCCTTTCCTTTCCATTCGTTTTCTTTCTTCCCTCCCCCCTCCCTTCCTCCCTCCCTTCTCTCTTTCAAATTTGGATGTGACAATTAAGCTTCTCATGTATTCAATATTCTAGGATATAAGAATGTTTTGATATCCCTTGTTATTTGTACAGGATTCCTTCTGGGACATCTCCTGAATTAGCAGATCTTCTTTTAGGGTTATTAAGGCGTAATGCTCGAGATCGAATGCCATTTGATTGTTTCTTCAATCATCCCTTTCTTCAACGGCGTGCAGAGGCCACTCCTGCTTCTGTTCCGCCCTCAGTTCCAAATGTTCCAGGTAGATGCAAAATACCTCCTTGTCAGTTGGGGCTTAGAATGGGTTTTGCTTGGCAAGTATTATGCAAGTATTTCAAAGATATTTTAAAAGAACTTTAATATCTACATCGTACAAATACATGATAAAAGATGGCTGGAGGACATTGAAGGTACAATTCTAAATGATTTTGCATGTTGTTAATGTTTCTTTGATTTGAGATGTGAATTAATTATTTTACCCGTAAGATTTGTGTGGATACAATGGATATTACTGTGTAGATAAAAAAATATTTGGGGTATAAATATAAATTATGTTTATAATTTAATGTTTTCTTAAGGTGTAAATTGCTATTGTATGGAACAAGAAAGTAAAAATATAAAAATTTGCTTTCAAAACAGGTATGAGTATTCCCTTGAGTAACATGTTTTCATGTACTTCAGCAGCTTCACTTTGCTTGGAATATTGGGAAATGCCATACTTGTATGAAACAACAGTTTCTATTGTGAAAGTCTTTTAATGTACATTTTTTCACCTAATGCTTTTACCTGTTCAATAATCATTGCGTTGGTCACTGCACCATACTTGTCATGATTCTGTCTTCTCAAAAGAGTTCAAGCTGCTCCAGCTGTTTTACACATGTAAATGTTTCACAAAGTGTGTAGAAATACAATGTTCTGCTGGCAGTTTTCTTTTGCACTTGCTTTTTCACTTCGGACTATTAGTCCATCCCTCCCTTTTTTTCCTTTATTCAGATGGGAAACTGGATAAAGTAGGAATTGTTGCCTGGTAAAATTGACAAAACTTCCATTTAATCTAGAATCTGTATTCATAAATCTATTTCTTTATGTTTTAGGAGAACTTCCTCCATCACCTGGAACATTATTTTCCACTGCTCAAGCAAACTCGCCTGAAGGAGGTAAGTAGCGCTGGTTTTTTTTATTAATTTTTCATTAACTTTGTAGCAGCTCATTTAATTCTAATTTAACTTTTCCAGGTTCACCCTTGTCTTGTAGAGAGCAAGCTGGTTGTTCTAGTCCAGAAGAAACAGATGATTTTGTGTTAGTTCCTTCAAATATTCCTTCTGATCAATCCAGTGACAGTAACCCCACTGATCGAACGTGAGCAGATTTTTGTGTTTGTTAATTGTGATTGCTAATGTGTTCTAGATAGAGAAAGCTAGTGCATGTTTATCTAATTGCATGCTCTGTAGTTAGATGTTGCTGTAGATACAATGGAACAGATCTTAAGCAGTCACTACTGATTTTGGTGAAAAATGTTTCTTTTTCGTGTGTGGTTTGTTTGTGTCTTTTTGTAATTACAGATGGCTTTTAATGGAGGTTATGAGAAATGTTCTAAATGTACTTTTTGAAATCAATTGTTGTATGCTTTCAAGTGTCATTAGGTTAACATCTTTTAATTTACATTTCAACTACAAAATACCAGTTGTTGTGTGTGTGTGTGTTTTCTTTTCATTTGCTTTTGCTCACATGTTCACATTTACACAACTCATAAAAAAAATGATTTGTTACCTTGTTTGTACATTACTCTTTTTCAAATCACTATTTTCTCTGCATTCATATATGTTATATACTTCTGAAAAAAATTAAGAGGGCAAAAAAGTTCCAGATTTTTGGTGCTTTTTGACAGACTGTATTTCGGTGAAAAATGCTCACATTCAGACTTTAAAAAGCATATTGAAGCTTTAAGGTTCTAATTTTGAATTTTATGGCAAACATTTTTAGGAGCTACAGTTATCGTGCAATCCTAACAGCTAATGCAAAAATATAATATTGCAGGAATTGCATCTAAAAAGAAATGTCGATAGTACAGTGTTGATTATTTGAAATTTTGTTTTCTTCAATCAAAGGCAGACAAATTTGCTGTGTTCATATGCCTTTTATGCAACAAAGTTTTAAGCAATGATTCTATGAAATGATCGAAGTATGAAGATCATTTAAGAAGATATCATCCTGATAAAGTAGGTAAACATTTAAATATCTTCAAACATTGAAGGAAAAATTTGAAAAGTCACCCACTGTGCATAGGATATTTGCTTGAACATCTCAAAATAACTATGATGGAGCGACTTTCTTGCAATATCTAACTTGCGAGCATCTTGCAATATCTCATTGTTTGTAGCGAAATCTGGAACACTTCACACCATCGGAGAACAGTTAATTTTATCCGCTGCTGAAGAGGATTTAAAAACATGAACCTCCACTTGATGCACTCAAAAGAATATTTTAATTTTTACCACTTCGAATTTAGTAGGGTTGGAACTCAGCAACAACACTTTGAGGGGACCATCGAAAGAAGAGTGTAGCCCCATAAATTTCAGTTTAAGCTACAGCTTTTTTTGATTTATTGATCCAAGATGCAAGCGGTAAAAAAAAGCCAAGTTATATCACCGCTTTTCTTGTAATTATTAATATATAACACAATTTCTTACGGCCTTGCGATTATCACGTTAAATTTGAGCTCCTGAAGTAAGGGTATCCTCTTGCTTTTTATTTCGTGTCACTTACGTTCTTTCTTCGTCCCTTTTTTCTTCTTGGCTGGCCTTCTCTGAGCTGAACGCCTACCCATATTTGCTGTGCATGGCGACCCGTGTCGAAGGGAATGAAGACTTTGGGGTGAAGGAGTTTGTGCTTTCTCGCTCATATAGCGCCTTGACGCCACAACTTTCATAACTATAATTGTTCATTGTGCCAACCCAGCGAGTCCTGTTGTGTGCTTGTGGGTATGTACTGCGTGCTTCAACGCACTACCTTTGGCTTCGATCTGTTCTAGTCTGGCAGACGGGAGCTAATCCACTTCCTATCAGTTGGCCCGGACTATTTCTCTGGCTACTCCAGGGTGAGCAGCGGGTATAATGGTCCTTGCGAGTGTGCGTCGGGAAGTCGTGACAGTACTCTCCCGAAAAGACTTGGATAAGCCAACTAAGCGTAGTTTCTTCTTAGGAAATGTACTGAACGAGGTCGTCAAGTAAAACCGTCAGCTCGGTTCGTTTGGCCTGTGACATTGACGACTGTTTTGGGAAGCTTCAGGCATGGATGGTATGCAATCAGCGCTAAGAGAATAATGGAGCCCTTTTTGTTCTCAGAAACAATAAACTCAAACTGTTGTGTGCATCATATCTTGAAAACGTTCTTCCAAATGTTGACAAACGAAGAGCGTAATTCCGGTCACTTTCAAAGGGATTGCGCAACCGCACAGTTTCCTTAATGGCTTTCGATGCCATTTGTGGAGAAATAATTATCACATGGGGTTTGCAGCCTGCACTCTCTCATGATCCGAGTTGTGTGTGTGTATATAACACGATTTATTTAGTCGTTCACTTGATGTAAATCAGCTGTTCACAGTTTCATCTAATCGGGAGCTTGAACGTCCCCATAGTTACGACTTATAAGCTCCCGATTGGATGAAACCACAACAGCTAATTTACGTCAAGTGCACCACTAAATAAATCTTACTAAAAGGAATACCCGCTAGGAAAAATTAAGGCACAATAAACAGGAACAGATCTCCGCAATACCACAAGACATCCTCTATCGAGTAAACCAGAACTTATTTTAGAGGTGTCATAAATGCTTCAGAACCAACGGTGAGCAGTTCCGCCATATATATTGGATGGCATTTAGTTCAGGATGTTCAACTTATGTATGAAATTATCCTGATACGAGCAAGTGTCAAAATCCCATCACTCTCTTCCTGAGTTTTCAGAATTTTCATCCCCTCGGTCAACTATCGGAAACCTTCCAGATGTAATATCTTGAGTACTACAACCTTTCGTTATCATTAGAAATTTCAACACCCTCAATCCTCTGTGGGGTTTCTCTCGAACTCAAGAGGAGAAGCATTGCGGAAACGGCCACAGAGAATTACAATTTCATTGTTGCCCACAGGACTTCGCCCAGTATCACTTGTCTTGATCTGTTTCATGTATAGATTTAGCCATCTGCAGCCAGCCCCTCGGCTCGACCGTGGACTGACCTCAATATACCTGGGAGTGATCATTACCCAGTCTTGTGTATGTGTTTTTGTTCCATCTCCCTCTTGACCACCTCACTGGATTTTCCAGCGAGCGGATTGGCTGGTGTTTGAGAGCTCCCTCTGCCTAACTAATGGAGAACTTCGATACAATGACCCCATTTTACCAATGCCGTAAACACTGCTGCCACAGTTGCTATTCCCGATCATCTGGCGGACTGAGATGCCCTCCGTACACACCCCTACCAACACCATGGTGCAACTCAGATTGTGCGAATGCAATCAAGGCCCGGAAGAAGGCACCAGCAAGGCTGAACAACAATTATTTTATCGTTGCAAACCGCGAAGAATATAAACGATCGAGAGCTCCACCGAGATGTCATGCGCGAAAGCTAATCCGCTTCAGGAGAGCTTACATATCTTCGCTTACATGTTACCTCCCAATGCCGTGTGGATGAAAATACAAAGAATTAAAGGAACCCTCCCTTCTGCAATTCCTGGACGTTTAAATAATGGGCAGCTGAAAACTTCGCTAGTAACCGAGTAACTTTTCTCCCAGTGTGAGACTTCGAACTCTCGTCTTGTTCTACCTATCTCTCCTTTCTGCCATAAGAAAAAATGGAGACCCTCCCTTGAATTTTCGGGTGGAATGGAGTTACAATATTGTTTTTTTGTATGAACGAGCTTCTCTTGCTCTTGTCATAAAAAAACGCATCTCCTGGACCGTGCCACATGCATAACGTGTTGAAACATTGTCAGAACAAGGTAATTAATTCTTCCCTAATCTTTATAATGGAATCTTGTACGAAAATACCGCTCCAAAAATCTGGCGGGAAGTCGTCTTGCCGATACCTAAGGATCATTCATTACCAACAAATTACCGCCAATTTCTTTAACGAGCTGTGTCAGTAAAATCTTTGAGCATGTGGTAAACAATCTGGTCTAGGCCCTAGTGTCTAGGAAGTAGATCTGATCAATGTGGATTCAGAAAACACCGATCTACCCGGAATCACTTGGCCATAATAGCAACTCAATTTCCTTTTTCGCGTTGAGCATTCTGTAGCTATCTTCGACATAGAAAAGGGATGTGACACCACCTAGAAGAGTATGATATTGAGTACCTTATACTCGTGGAGTTTAGACGGCAGTTCCCCCTGTTTCTCAGAAGATTTCTGTCTAATAGATCTTTTCATTAATGCCTGGGCAAGAAAGTATGCAGTAGTAAACCCATCAGAAAACGGGTGTTTCTTAAGGATCAATCCGAAATGTCACTCTATCGCCATTGCGCCTATTGTACATGAGTCAGTTAAAGTATTGCTTTATTATACTCCTCCAGAAGCCTAAATGTCGAAAGACTACGTCAACATGTCTTTGATTGCATCAGTGGACCGAGTCTACGTGTTACACATTTTTTATGACAAATTGCTACATGCACTTCTCTAGAATCTATTATCTCCTTAACTACGCAGAGCTCTTACTGGGTGATCACCAGCTTCCCTTTTATTGACAACGCTAGGTTTCTGAGACTCGCCTTCGAAGATCCCTGACGAGGCGCAACCATGTAGGTAGGTTGCAGATACTCAACCCCCGCACGTTTTGTACGATTACAGGGGGAGGAAACCGCATTTGTCTCCTACGACTTTGGAGAACATTGGTTCACTCATTATTGAGATACGGCAGTATAATGAATCTGCTTCAATGTCGTTTCGCCCTTTGAATATTATATACACTGTTGACATCCGCATTGCTACTGGAGCTCATCGCACCAGTCGCATCGAGTGCCTCTTGGTAGAGGCTGGTGAACCGCCTTTGAGTAAAAGACTAAATATATTGCTTGCAGCCTATGGAGCGAAACTTTCAGGTCTTCCGAATCATCCAATTCGTGAAGTTAACTTGTACCTTAACCTTTGTACCATATCTGCAATTTAAAATCAAGTATTATACCTGGTGTCTTTCTTGATCCCAAGCTTTACTATTGGAAGTGGTGAACACGAATGTGTACGGCAATGTACTGAGTGTAAATCATTGTTGTATAAGTATGTTGAAGTGAATCAATCATTCCGTCTTTTAAATTCTTATAATTTTTACAATGTTGTTAATTCACTTTTAAACTATTTACTATACTTTT